ATATCTGTGATTCTAAGTAATAAAATAATAATTATTGTCCGGAAAGATCGCAACAATCTAAGTAATGATTTAATATTTTGCATCATCATTCATTCGATTCTCGATTAAATTGTATATTGTTTAATTATAACAATAAGGATTGAGAAAATTTAAAGCATTGGTCGAAATATAGTTAATTCAAGTATTGTTAAAGAAATTTTATAATAATCAATGATGGATATCATAACATAATTAAATCTTTTATCCTCTTTTACGTACCTCGTGTTTCCATTTTTATTTGCAGTAATAAATGATGCGATTCGATAAAGCTTTATCGTTGTGATACAGTTTCATGTCGTTAATTAATTTTTAAATAATTAATTTTTGTTAATATTTATAGCAAATTATGTTTTAATATTAATCGTAATCGTGTTTATTAAAAAAATTATAGTATACGAAACATTTCTTACCACTACTTTATTACTCGAAAGCCACCGTGCGAATGATGACAAAGCGGTAACGTAGCCCGATACTGTTTATATTTTATATTGCCAAAGTTGAACGCCGCGTGATCGATAATTTGTTGCTGAAATATTTTTATATTTTATATATTATAAAATATACATTAACGCGGAATATTAAATTATGGAAGTATTTTAATATATTGATTAAAATTCATTATTTATTAAACAATTTATCACGGATCTTTTCGTTATGTTAATTATTTGCATCTATAATTCGATTGTTTTACTTCGTGTTCTCTCACAATCCAAATTATATTTAGATTATCAAAAATGATAAAGTGACTCGGATGAAATATATTTATGACTTTAAATATTAAAATAATAATTGTTGTCCGTGAAGATCGCAATCATCAAAGTGATTATTTAATATCATGGATTCCTATCATTTAATCGATTCTCGATTAAATTATATATTGTTTAATTAACAAGGAGAAAATTTAAAGCATTGATTGAAATATATTTAATTGTAATATTGTTAAAGAAATAATATAATAAGTAACGATGATCGGAAGATTATATTTAATTCTCTTATCCCCTTTTATATATTCCCTGATTCAATTTTTAATCGCGGTAGTGAATGATTACGATTCGGTAAATATTTATGGTTATGATACTGTTTCGTGTCGTTAATTAATTTTTAATTAATTAATTTTTGTTAATATTTATAGCAAATTATATTTCGATACTAATCGTAATCGTGTTTATTAAAAAAATTACAGTATACGAAGCGTTTCTTACCACTACTTTATTACTCGAGAGCCACCGTGCGAATGATGACAAAGCAGTAACGTATAGCGCTCTATTGTTTATATTTTATATTGTTAAAGTCGAACGTCATGTTATCGATAATTAGCTGAAATATTTTATAAATTGTAAAATATACATTAACGCAGAATATTAAGTTAATAATGTATTTTAATTTACTGACTAAAATTGATTATTTATTAAACAATTTATCACGAATCTTTGTTATGCTAATTATTTGCATCTATGAATTGATCGTTTTACTTCGCGTTCTCTCAAATCCCAAATTATATTTAGATTATCAAGTAGAACGATAAAGTAATACGGATGAAATATATTTGTGATTCTAAATATTAAAATAATAATTATTGTCCGTAAAAATTGCAATTATCAAAGTGATTATTTAATATTTTAAATCCCTATAATTTCATCGATTTTCGATTAAATTGTGTATTTAGAAAGATTGAGAAAACTTAAAGCATTGAATCGAAATATATTTAATTCTAATATTGTTAAAGAAATAATATAATAAGTAACGATGATCGGAAGATTATATTTAATTCTCTTATCCCCTTTTATATATTCTCTGTTTCAATTTTTAATCGCGGTAGTGAATGATTACGATTCGGTAAATATTTATGGTTGTGATACTGTTTCATGTCGTTAATTAATTTTTAATTAATTAATTTTTGTTAATATTTATAGCAAATTATATTTTGATACTAATCGTAATCGTGTTTAGTAAAAAAATTACAGTATACAAAGCGTTTCTTACTACTACTTTATTATTCGAGAGCCACCGTGCGAATGATGACAAAGAGGCAATGTATAGCGCGCTACTGTTTATATTTTATATTGCCAAGTCGAATGTCGTGTTATAAATAATTCCTTGCCAAAATATTTTATATAATATATAATATACATTAAATAATATACATATTAATATTAAATATATATTAATTATAAAATATACATTAACGTGAAATATTAAATTATAGAAGCATTCTAATTTATTGATTCAAATTGATTATTTATTAAACAATTTGTCACGGAGCCTTTCGTTCTGCTAATTATTTGCATATATTATTCGATGTTTTACTTCATGTTACTTCATTTTACTCCGTACGTTACATCTGATGTTTTTTCAGACTTCCTTTCCTCTCTTACGTATCTTTTATTATTTCTTTTTGTAGCATTCACTCACTCATGAAAACACGATTTAATTATAATTAATCAAATACGTGGCGCCTTTTGCATGAGACTTTCAATAATCATACGAAATAGTCATACGAAACTTATATATGCACTTATTCCATGATACGAGAGCAACATGACCTTTACACGAGACCAAAATCATTCGGTATTTGCTACAGCAATGCGTATGCTACTGATACGCGTATTATACGCTGTATAATATATATGAATCATAAGAATTAAAGTATTAAAATAATAAATAAATTTGTGAGACAGCAATCATTTAATTAATAATTAATTTTTGTTCACATTTTAGAAAAATTTGAAGTTTAGTTGTTTGATTGTAATGCAAAATATTAAATTGTAGAAGTTTTTATATTTATAGACTAATTAAATAATTATTTTCTATTTAAACAATTAATTAATATATGAAACGTTTCGTATCATTACTTATTGTTTGAATATCACTGAGCAAATGATAGCAAAACTGTAATATATAAACAACGCGCTACTGTTTACGTTGCCAAAATCATGATTTTATTGATAATTTATTGGTGAAATATTTTATTATAAAATACACACGCGTAGAATATTGAATTATAGAAGTATTTTAATTTATTGATTAAAATTGATTATTTATTAAACAATTCATTCATTATGGAATTCTTTATGCATAAAATATTTAAATATATTATTGTGAAGCAGTTTATGAAATATTACTATCTATATAAAAGTATTAATTAATACAAGAGTATTTTATTATAGATATTTTAAGTATATTAAAATAAGATAATCCAGAATATTTTATATATATGTTATACTAATATAACTTAAAAGCTTAAATAATTTAGATAATTTACAATGTGAGAGAGAGAGAGAGAGAGAGAGAGAGAGAGAAAAAGAGCGAGAGAGAGAGAGAGAGAGAGAGAGGGAAAGAAAGAGAATCATTATCGAGAAAACAAGCAATATATAATATGATCTGAATATAAATGACATATATATATAATATAATCTGAATATAAATGATAAATATAAATGATAAATTATTTATAAACTTACCGGATACTGTTGCTCAGTACGGGGCTCCGTTGCTCAGTGCTTTTTTAGTGCTTTTTTAGTGCTTTTTTACTTGCTTTTCCTCTCCTTTTCTATTTTTTCGTTGCACTCACATTCACTCCCGAAAATAAGATTAATTAAGATTAGTTAATTAAAATTAGTATACGCAATAATCGCGAGATACTTTGCACGGCACTCCCGAATCATCACGTAGTAATTACAAATAAAAGTTTAGCAAGTACTAATTATAATTATCGTAGCGAATTATGTTTCAATACTAGTCATAATTGTGTTTTAACGTTAGAGAAAATATTTAATAATATACGAATATTTCGCACCTTACTCGTCGAATGTTGCCGTGTGAATGATATCAAGACCGTACATGTAAACACAGCGCGTCATACGCCGCCAAGGCCGACCGTGTTATTATCCATTCACTGCTGATATATTTTACGTACTTTAACATATACACGAAATGTTAGAGTGTCTAGAAGTTTTAGATTATATGGATTAAATAAATAATATTTGTTAATTTGATGTATCGCAAAGCTGTTCATTATGTTAATTATTTCGATTTATGATTCGATTGTTTTGCTATGCGTTTTGATTCTAAATTAAATAATTAAATTTTAAATAATTGAAAAATAAAACGAGATCAAGCGTCGCGGAAATTATATTTGATTCTATAAATATCATTAAAGTAATAATTTCTTCTTGTAAAAATCAATTTCAGATAATTTATTATTTTAGATTTCTGTTTCTATGATTCTTACTTGATTAAATGAATAAATTACGTGAAATATGCGCTTCAAGAACTTTCTGCGATATTTTGCGATATTTATAGGCGCAATGTAATATTAATTATCTAGGGATAGTATAGGTTCAATTATAATGCGATATTTTGCGATATCTTGGAACGAAGATTATTATTCTTATTTAGAGGTAATTTAGGTTTATTTATATTGCGATATTTTGTGATATTTGTGAGCGCAGTGTAATATTAATTATCTTCGGATAGTAAAGGTTTAATTACAATGGTAACACGAAGTAAAACAATCGAATTATAGATGCAAATAATTAGCATAACGAAAGACTTCATTATGAATAGTTTAATAAATAATCAATTAATCTTAATCAATAAATTAAAATACTTTTATAATTTAATATTCCTTGCGCAAATATTTTATATTACAGAAAATATTTCGGCAACGAGAAAATTATCAATAACACCGTGTTCAATCTTGATAAACAACATCGCGTTATTGTTAATATCTTACGTGGTTTATTATCATTCGCACAGTCACTTTGAGTAGTGACGTTTCACATATTAAAAATTCTCTCTCTACATAGTCAACCTTGGCGATATAAACAATACCGCGGTAATGTTGCTGACTTACGATCATTCGGTCAGTGACTCTCGAGCAGTGAGGTAGTGATGTGAGACGTTCCATATATTATCAAATTCTTTCGTTAAGAACGATAACATCATTCCTAACAAGGGTCACGCGTTGAATCTCGCGGAATGTAACATCAAAGTTCCGAGGACAGGGCCGAATTTGGGGGGGGGGGCAACAGGAGCTGAAGCCCAGGGGCCTCCACAACACAAATTTTTGAGTAAAATTTCTTAATTGGGTAAAATTTTCGAATGGTATACAACACTTACAAAGTCTATGTATATTGCTTGACCTTGTTATTTCGCAATAAATTATTTAAACAACGTAAAAATTTCTATTTGATTTTGGTTCAAAAATGGTTAGAGATCTCCACCTCTTCGTTGTCCCAGGGCCTCCACACCTTTAAATCCGATTCTGTCCGAGGATGCACGCAGGCCACGTATTCGCTCGCTTAATCTCTCAAGCATTAAAGTGACGCGTGGACACATCAAGCGCATCGAGTCGAGCGAGCTGTCAGCTGTCAGTCGCGTCTTTCTGTCATCGGTTCTATCACGAGCTCTGACCTTAATTTTACGTCGATTTACATCAGAAGCATGGAAGACTTGTCGACGGCAACGTACTTGGGTCTAGACCTAAGCACCCAGCAGGTATGTTTTGCGATGTATCTGTGTGTATTTCGAAAATGTACAATACGTAAAGATATAAATATATGTGGAATTGAAAGGCGTGAAAGTTGGGACTGTGAATGACGTTAATGCACAATTCAAACATAAATTCACGAGCAGAAAATATGTAATCTGTTAAGTCTCTTTTCAGATACCTTTGAAAATTTGAGTTGTAATTATATTAAAATGCACATAATTGTTTACATTATTTACGAGAGATTATAAGCGAATTGTAACAATATGCGACAATGCACTCGTGCATTGAAAGGTGACCACGTGGGTATACATATATGTATATAAAACAGTACAATATTTTATATCTTATTCTAACAATCGAAAACCTTACGAGATAACATCTGTGTTGCTCACATTTGCACATGCTTATTTTGAGAGGTTTTATCACTAGGAGTTTATTACGAGATAAAACGATGTGTGGAATATTTTGTTGCGAGATAATTTTTACTCACAACAATGGATGTAGACGAAATAATGAGACGACGTAAGATAATACGTAATGTAAGATCTTTTTCTACATCTACAGCATTTAAAATTATATCAGTTTCCTGAGGAAAGAAAATCTTTTATGGAAAGTAATCGTGAATGAATTTTTCATTAAGTTCGTGATATCTGATTTTACGGAATATTATTTATTATATGCAAATCTCGCATTTTCCAGAAAGATATCATATCGAATGTTACTGGAAAAAATAAGATACGATGAAATTTCGATATTGATTACCTGTGAGAAATTGTGAACTGTTTTTGGAGAATATTTATATCTTTTATTACAGCATTCACATATATTTTATTTGTGATTTTTTTTCCTTTGATTACTATACAATTCAATTATCGATTACTTATTATTTCGTCTTCCATCTTTCTATTCACTTTGAGAGTGATAACCTTACAAAGTATGTTTATGAATTTCATTATCTTCAAACAGCGATGATCTAAAAGTTCTTTCTACGCGCATTTATTACGCATTTCATAAAGTGTGTTAATACAATGATAGTTTCACACGTTAAACACGAGCGAATGTCGAAACGTCACAAGAGCCACTTTGATTGCCGGGTCACTTTTATCTAATGAGATAACATACGAATTATTAGCTGATATGCGCGAAGGAAACATATTTACAAAATGCAACGAGATATAGAAATATTGAGCTGATATCATTGGAGCACTTTTGATGCGTGTACATTGGAGTAAAAATTTTACGTTGCATTAGGGGCGATAATATATATATATATATATATATATATATATATATATATATATATAACATGTTTCTGTCAGATATTATTATATTATAATCATACATTATTATCGTCTTAAACGTGTAAAGAATTTTCAGATTTTCTTAATTATTTTGCGTTCATATTAAATGGATCATTATTAAATAAATTAATTAAATTAAACTAATTATTAGATAAAAATTTATAGACCAAAGAATAAATAAAAATAATGGCACGTGTAAAACATAATTATGTAAATTTTTGAAAAAAGGAGGATATTTTCGAAAATATTTTAAATGTTGAATTTGCGTTGATTCAATTTCAGCTGAAAGCAGTAGTAATCGATGATAATCTAGTCGTCCTTCACGAGACTAGTATACAGTTTGATAATGATCTACCGGAATTTAGGTATTCTTAAAGAAAATTGAATAAAATTGTAATTCTCTACATTTTATCTTGTAATACATGAGTACTTGAATATTATATTGTAGGACTTACGGAGGAGTTATACAGAAGAAAGAGGAACCGCATGTCGTGGTAGCTCCTTCTTTAATGTGGGTTAAAGCCTTAGATATGATACTTGACAAATTACGTGTTTGCGGTGTCGATTTTAGTAAAGTGGTAGCCATCTCTGGATGTGCGCAGGTAATGCGGCTATGTATATATATATTACTTCCCAATTATATCGATTATTTTAAAAATATACCATAAATGCATCTTTATGTAAGATACTACTTTTCACATTTCTATGGTTCTTAGCAACACGGTACGATTTATTGGGGCAAAGGTAGCCAAAGTCGGTTGCAGCGTTTAAATCCCACAAAATTCTTATACGAACAATTTGCTACATCCTTTTCCGTTACTCATTCGCCTGTATGGATGGATTCCAGTACGTCGAAAGAATGTAGCGTTTTGGAGGAGATCGTAGGTGGTCCTCACGTAAGCATCCTTGTTTATATATCTGTCGAATATATAATGATAAATTAAGACAAATATACACGAATCTTTAATCCAATATATGTTAAAGTTTATAATGAACGCGTACGTTTATGGTTTAACGTTAGCTTTCACGAGAATTTATTTCTGTGATGTAAAATATCGTAAACGATTAATGCTATTATCATGCTTAATTGATGCTATAATCATGCAAGAATGGATTGGCTAAATAATTGAAGTTATCTTAGACTTAGTATACACACGAGTTCTATAGATCAATAATATTTATTCATGCAGCGTGTGATTTCAGAAATTAGCGGAAATAACGGGTTCGCGAGCGTACGAGAGATTTTCGGGACCGCAGATAGCGAAAATAGCACGCACGAAGCCGGAAGCCTACTGTAACACTGAGGTATTACCTACTAAAAACTCGTGGCTTCCTTCGAAAAAATGAGAACGGTAATTGACCGAGGTATTCGTTACGTATGGTTATACTGATTGAATTGTATTACAATAGTGTGTTTCGCTTTCGAATGTATCAATGATAATTTTATAAAGTATGTCAAATATAAAAAGTATTTATAACATTTATTGATCGGGAATTTGCTATTAATTGATTTCTTGTTCTTGATCAGTGTTGTACATTTTTATTTACTTATTTTTTTAATATTTACTATTTATTTCACGGTTTTAGTAAAAATTTATAATCTAAAAATTTTTGTGACATAATCGTGTGACATAATATCGTGTGTTGTCGTGTGATTTAACGTTTCCAATTATATCTCGATGATCAAAACTATGCATCATGCGCTTTGTGCTGCTCTTAAAATGTATCAAATTGAATGTTATTTTATGTACGTGCTGTTTTCTTTTAGAGAATCTTGTTGGTGAGCAATTTTCTCGCCTCTTTGTTCCTGGGCGATTATGCACCTATCGATTGGTCTGATGGTTCGGGTATGAATTTGCTAAATATTCATACGAAAGATTGGGATGATCTATTATTGGAGGTAAAATGACGTTATATATACGCTTGTACATATGTTTCATTTTTGCCGTCACTATATATCATATATTTGATAGACTTGCGCATCAGGACTAAGAGAAAAATTAGGTAAACCTGTTTCATCATGCAGTGATATCGGTTCTATATCGCCTTATTTCGTGAAAAGATTTGATTTTAAAGAAAAATGTAGAATAATTGCGTTTACCGGAGATACTCCAGAATCCTTGGTAGGTATGTAATATTATCCATATATATATTTAGAAATATGTTTCATTATAATGCAACGTAGAGATGTAGTAGATGCTGTAGGATGCTATTATACTCATGACAAAAATAATACCTAGGTATGAGGTTAAAAGAGGGTGATATCGCTTGCAGTTTGGGTACGAGCGATGTTTTATTCTTGTGGCTAAACGAACCAAAGACTGTAATGGCTGGACATATATTGTGCAATCCGATAGATAATCAGGCTTATATGGGATTGCTTGGGTATTTTTTGTCTTTATATTAATAATGTACAAGCGATAATTATTTTATATAAATAAATGATAATTGTTTTGTACAGTTCTACGAACGGTTCTTTAACGCGCGAAAGAATACGAAACGAGGTTGCTCAAGATAGCTGGCAAATATTTAATGAATTATTAGAAAGCACGCCTCGAGGAAATTTCGGCAACTTTGCATTATATTTTGATAAACAAGAGATCCTGCCTTTTGTCATCGGTGATTATAGATATAATAAAGCCAATGATGAAATCTCTCGATATAGTTCGAAAGAAGTAGAAGTGAGAGCATTGATTGAAGGTCAATTTGTCGCAAAAAGAGCATATGCTGAAGATTTTGGACTTGTCATCGGCAAGTATTTTTTGACAAATGATTTTTTTCACATTCTTATTTTGCAAATATTTCTGATATTCTTTCTTTTGTATAGGATCTAATACACGAATTATCGCAACGGGAGGTGCATCTGTGAATAAAGCTATATTGCAAGTACTTTCCGATGTGTTTAATTCGCCAGTATATATCTCGGTAAATATAATGTGTGATAATTGTTAGCATTAATATTAAAATTTAATACATGAAAATATTAAATTTTTATAACTTTTTTTTATTCAATAGGAAGCAGTTAATTCGGCTATGATGGGTGCGGCATATCAAGCCAAGTATGGTTTATTTCACAATAATTGTAGTTTTGATGAAATTACACGTTGTTTGCCAGAACCGACACCTGTATGTCAACCTCATGATGATGCCGAATCCGTAAGTAAAATCAATTTTTAAGAACTTTTTTTTTATTATTACAATTGATAATGTATTATATTTTATGCTTTTATAGATTTATAATTATAGATTTATAATTTTATAGATTTATAATTTTAGATTATAGATCTTATAGATTTATATATTTTTTAGATTTATAAACCTATGACGATACGTTATCGTAAGATTGTAGATCAAATATTAAAGAAGAAAAACGAACAAAAAAGCAAATGTAAATAACAACATTGTATAAACCAAAATATTTTCTAAAGAAAAATATATCTTTTATACCTTTATATTATATTATATTTATATTTTAAAAACAAAATGAATATATTCTAAAAAAATATGTATAAAGTAACTATAAATGCATTTATTTTTTTAAATTATGTTAGCTATTTACTATTTGGTTTAAACTTAGTAATTTTAAAAGTTAATATTACCTGTATTAGCTAAGTAAGTTTTATTCTAATTATTGTACGAAGACAACACAAGATTAAAATTATATTACAATTTAAGTTTCGCTATTCTATAAAAAATGGAGCTTAAAAATTATAATAAAATCATATTTAAAATATACTATTTATTGCATTTATAAGTTATATATTTTTTTTACCTTGTTTCTAGCGAGGAATTGTTGCTCTGAAATTAATGAGTCTTCAGTTCTCTCAGTTTCTTAGCTTGTGATTCTTCATCCGGTGGTTTACTAGCAGATTTTAATCCAATCTTGGAAGAAAAAATATACAAATATAAATTAAATTTTAAAATACAGGAAAAGTAATGAATTGTATGGGTATATTTTATAGGAAGTTACTTACAGTAGATGTCATTGGTAGCTGCATCGGCGCCGGCATAAACGGTGACATTGCTGGAGCTGCGATAGATTATTTTATTTCGATTAGTTTTATTTATATGAAACAATACGATAATAAAATATTTTTCGAAATACATAGAAATAAATAAAAAAAGTTTCTTACGCATTAGAGATGGTCGGGGTAGCATAGGTGCCATCATCATCATGTTATAACACTGCAAAAATTTGAAGAAGATGCATTGGATAAAAATGCGTAGCAATTAAGAATAACTTGCAATTAAATTGACTAATAATAGCATTACTTTATAATTATGTTACACTTTATAATTTAATACATTATATTATATATACATATAAAGCATCAAGCATTAAATATTCTGCTGTTATGAAAACTAATATAAAATAATAAAATAATATAAAAAATTTGCTATATAAAGTGGAACATTCGAAAACATACTGACGAGATACTATGAAAGATAGATGGTTTTACTGGATTTACCGTGACCACAAAAACATATTTACATATTTTTATTATTGGTGGTATATATATTAATAAATTTTTAATATAAATGAATTTTTTGGTTTTTTCTCTCTTTCTCTTTAGAATGGAACAAAACCAGAAATTATGCACATTATATGTTACCCTCTGAGAACATTCGTGAATATTTACTTCGTAGTTCTCGTTTTTAATGTCCACAGATATAGTAGAGCGCATATATATCGATAATTGATTTTAAAAGATATACCGACTTTATTTTAAAAGTTACATACCGACAGATCGAATTTATCGAAAGAATAAATCGTTGAATCGTTGTAATTTATTGAATGGCGGGAAAGAAAGGTACGCGACAATTATATGTATACATATATTATATATGTATAATACGGATAAAAATATTTTGACATTACAAAAAAATTTATAAAATATAGATTAATGTACGTTAACAAGATTTATTTTGTAAAGAAATAACACTAATATTTGTCAACGACATATCTCTTATTATGAGATCTATTTTTCATTATGACAGCTTCTTACATAGCTTTTTCGTATCTTTTCATCACCCTCGAGATGTGCTCAATCACACGCTGAAGATGGGAAAAAATGGCAAAAGGTAATGATGTGTTTTCCATGAAATCGTATATTACGATCGTTTCGTTTCAAGGAAGGAAAAGTAAGGAAAATCTTTACAGACTTACATATACATATAAACATAAATACGTTGCTACTTATTGAAGTGCGCGACTCCTACCGGGTGATCTCAACGTATCATTTGACAGTCACGCGACATTGTTGGCAGCCGTGGACACCGTATCCTCGGCAACAGGCATCAATTTCGTAAACACAGGTACGCATTGTCGTGTGCCGAGGGTTACATGAAAAAAAGCCGTCCGCCCGATGTATGAAGATGTGAATGCACCGCGACGGCTCGCACTTCCTTCCGCGCTCGCCCGAAAAATTCACCCTCGTGCAAGGATCTCGGACTCCCCTTCTCGAGACCACGTCATCGGCGACCACCAAGTTCCATCGTCGCCGTCGTTGCGACGATGTCGGAGAAAAAGGCTGCAGAGAAAGTCTCCGAGATTGACGCTCACATTAGCAAACAGTACGACATCGTGAAACGCCTCGGCAAAGGGGTAACGTTACTTTTTTTCATTTCTCTTCCGTATTTCTCTTCCCGCTCTTTGTCCCTTTCTCGCACGCCTCCGGGGAAATTTGCGGATGATGAGTCGCAAATTTGTATCTTCCTGTCAATGGTAAAAATTTGCGGTTTTATATAAAATACACGTACCGCGGAAATTACATTGCATTTTATTTGCACACGTTGCAGTGCGTTATTTAAAAAAATTTTTTTAGATATGTAAATTGCAGAAGAGACGCATGTAGTTGTCAAATGCAGATATTTCAGACATAAAGATATCCATTTTTTTAATTAATTGGAAGCAACATATAATTTGACATGCATTATTTCATATCGGAGATTTCTGTCAAAATAATAAAAAAATTATTTTTATCTCATCAAAATTATTTTTCTATATATTGTTTTTATGTAATTTGGACGCAAGTTTTTTAGTTATTCTATATTATTAAAATTATTTCTTTAGAAATAATTTTACAATTTTAAAATTTTAAAATTAAAATTATTTCTTTAGAAATATCTTTTTATGTCCTTGCAAAACGATATTAGGACATGCATGGTATGGCACGACGATAAAAACTTTTGTTAAACTAAAGCTCTACAATTCACGAGAAATATCAATAGTCATCATAACTATCTTCTTCGTCAGGAAAAGTTGCAGATCGATAACGGCGCGGTTAAAAAGTCGTCGCCGTCGCAACAAACGATGACAAACGGATCATGGTACCATAAGTCGATTTTTGTCAGACACGTATTTGCGTAATTTAAAACTTGAACTGTGTGTGCCTGGCAATCTCTCATTCATATCGTAATAATGCAAATGATAGCATGCAATATTCATGCATTGCGCTTGTACTCGTATTTTACGGTATAATCACTATTTGACGGAAGTCATTTATGATTGTACAAAAGACAAAATGAGAGAATAAAAAATCCGAAACAATTATGTTAATGTATATTTCTCCAAGTTTTCTCGTCTCCTAGGAAATGGAGTAGTTTGTAATTGAAATATAAAGAGGATTAGAAAGTTTGTCGTTTTTTGATGTAAATTTCCTGGAACAAGATACTCGTAATAATAGCAATAATTTTTCATTAATTAATATCATTAATTTTTAATTTTTTTTATACAGGCTTACGGTATAGTATGGAAGGCGATCGAGAAGAAGAGGAAGGATACTGTCGCGGTGAAGAAGATCTTCGACGCCTTCAGAAACCAGACGGATGCACAACGTACGTTTCGCGAGATTATGTTCTTACTTTCGTTCGCCAATCACGAGAATATCATCAAACTGATCGGGCTCCATAAGGCGAACAATGATCGGGACATTTATCTCGTTTTCGAGTACATGGGTGAGTTTTAGCTGACGAAGAAGAAATCACGCGCACATATATACATATCACGTGCGCCGATTCTCAGACTTTTGGCTTGAAACACCTTTCGGCCCGTTTCTTCAGAAACCGATCTTCACAACGTCATTAAGCGGGACAATATTCTTAAGGACATCCACAAGGTCTTCATCATGTACCAACTCTTTAAGGCGATCAAATACATACACTCGGGCAACGTTATTCATAGGGACTTGAAGGTGATGCTGAGTCTTACAATTTCAATAGCGTAAAAAGTTTTATCTTTTCCATAAATTTTTGAATTCTTAAGAGAGACATCTTTAGAAAATTTTGAATTATAACTTCGATTATACGTTTATTTTTTAAAGACCTTGATGCATAGAATATTTCTTAAATATGTTTTTTATTTTTAATTTTATTTTTGAAATGAAATATTCAGAAAAGTAGTTCGTGAAATATATATTCTTTTCGCTTGCAGTTTGTCTCACATCAAGTTCCTTTATTTTACTACATGTTATCGTGAAGCAATATCATGTCGAGTTGACGTTATGCTTTTATTACAGCCATCCAACGTGCTTCTGAATGCACAATGCCATTGTAAGATCGCAGATTTCGGTCTGGCACGGTCGATGACACAGATCGGTGAAGGTGATGGTGAGACTGGAAGCGATCCTACTTTAACAGACTACGTCGCCACTCGATGGTATCGCGCTCCGGAAATTCTCATAGCTTCAAAAAGGTACATGTTTATTCTGCTTATGCATTTCTCTCGATGCCTTTACCTGATATCGTCGTCACGTTTATTTCTCTCTGTGACATTTTAATAATCTTTCTCGTTCAGAACTTTTCGAGTAAAAGTTTATCTTGGCAAACACATCTATAAATGTCATTTTTTCCACCAGAATTATTTTTATTTTTTAAAAATGCCTTTCCTTTGCAAAATTACAAAATTTTTAAAATATGTAGTTGGCAATATATCACATATATCGTTACATGATAGCTGTATTGGCGCTCTATTTTAATTCCTGTTGGCTAGTTATCAATTTTTTGATCATCGAAAAGATTCAAATTGATAAGCTCTTAATCAGATAATGAAATATATATTGTAAAATATATATTCAAAATATTTGATGGGGAATGCAACTATATATACAATTTTCAATCTAATTATAATCTTAACGCGGTATGCAGTTTAAAGCTGAATGATATTTCAGTCATCTCTTGGAGTTACCAAAAGTTCTTAACTAAGGTAAATTTGAGACATAATTTACAAAGCTACACGACGAGATAATAAGATAATGTACATATTTCAATTCATGGTATCATAAAGAGAGTTACATCGTGTAACTTAAGAATGTACTTAAGAATGATCATGATAATAAAACTTGTCTTATTTAATTGAAGGAGAGGAAAAGAGGCATTACTAATTAATTTAAATGCAGAATAATCATCGAAAACAAGTGAAAATATAAGAAAGTTAAATATTATAAATACACATATATCGATGTGTTTGACCCATATTTTTGTATATGTGTGCGTACTTTAATGTAATCTCTATTGTATTAAGTTTCTTTTATCTGTAAAATTTTGACCATTGAGAGTCGTATTTTACTCAATATAAATGTTCTCAGATACACAAGAGGGATAGATATGTGGTCTTTAGGCTGTATTCTCGGCGAGATGTTACTGGGGAAGCCTCTTTTTCCCGGTTCATCGACGATAAACCAAGTCGAGAGAATAATGGCGACCCTGCCCCCACCGACAGACGAAGGTAATTCTTCCCAAAACTTTTTTGGTAGTAAAGAGATGAAAAAAGAAAAAAAAAGAAATGGCTGGACTATTTCACGATTATTTTTTTGTAGATCTAATATCGGTCAGCGCTGGTTACGGAATCAATTTGTTGGAGAAAACACCCAATAGGCCTAGAAGAACTCTAAAAGATTTGCTGCCGGAAGTATCAGAGAAAGCTTTGGATCTTATTAGCAATTTGATAGTCTTTAATCCTACACAACGACTCACCGCCATCGAAGCGCTAGAACATCCCTATGTTGCCGAGTGAGTGTAGTATAGTTTGTCATATATTTATAGTATAATTCCAGAGAAGCTAAATAAATTTAACAAAAAAAAACGGGAATTTATTAATTTTTTTATACAATAAAATTTTTATTTTTGCATGAGTCTTTCTTTTAATCTAATTAGTTTTGGCATTGTATGTGGATACAAAGAAGATGTAAAGCTCTATAATTATCATTCATCTTAAAACATAAAATTTCAAATAGGCTCTCATTTGGCTGCATAACTATAAGAAAGTCTATATCATTATCCTGTCACCTGAGACTAATAGCTCACCATGCAATTGAAGCGCAAGAGTTTTCTGTTCTGTCATTATTCTTGTCATCATTTTTTATTAGAAAATCATTTGGATAGAGCAGTATGCATTGAAAATATCGATTTTCGATAACAGTTATAATGACAAGACTTTGAAACGAATATTATTGAGTGGGAAATGTGTTTCCTTCCTTCGGAATCTTATAAAAAGAATCTTTTATTACAAGAATCTCATCGATCTTGAAATATCTGGATTAGATCTTTCTGAACAGAATTTTCTAGTGAAAATTCCGCGTTTAATACGTTTGTATTTCCATGTATTTTTATTTAAGCAAAGAGAAAGAGAGAGAGAGAGAGAGAGAGAGAGAGAGAGAGAGAGAGAGAGAGAGAGAGAGAGAGAGAATAATATGCGAAAGCACGTCTTTCGAAATCGAGATAAAGTAACGCGATAGCTCGTAGATGGAGGTTTAATTGGAGAACTTCTTCCATAGTTTTCACCGAAGAGGAAACGAACCGGAGAGGGGTTCTAGTGTTGTGCCGTTGCTGAGCGATGATGTGCAGCTTTCCGTCGACGAATACAGAAATAAGCTTTACGCGATGATGGATGAAAAACATAGGAAACATAAGAATATGTGAGTAGATATTTATTACGCGCAGCCCTTGTTTATTATCTCGCGTAATCAAGATCATATTGCATTATTAAAATATACTTTTAATTATTTTTATCTTTACATTTGACATTAATTTACAATTAGTCTGGTATGAATAATAATCACAATTTTAATGTGATTTTAAATTTATCAAAGAATTCAATTTTCTGAATGTATATTGAAATTCCTCTCTCGCGTTACAATTGATTCCAATTCCCAGTTCGCTTTTAAAGTTTCGTTTTTAATAAATATTTAGATGTAGTGTTATTGTGCAATATATTTGCATACTATATATATTAAAAATTTTGAACGTGTCAACAACTTTCTCGTAGGTCAAAGTCCAGATTGCGGCGATTATCTGAAAGTATCTGGAAGGAATCCAGTAAGAGTAATCCAATAATCGGCCAAGGTGACGCGATTGTCGGTAAGAGAAATATAGTAAATAAATAAGATTTTTTTTCATTTATCGTAATTTTATTCGATGATTATTTAGTCAATTTTATTCTGGGATTTCTTTTATTTTTAGCATGCCCGTCATTGCCAAATAGGAAGACAATCAGGCCGTCTCAAAGTGACAATATTGCACGTGTTACGAAAACACGAACGATAAATGTCATGGCGCCAGTTCAAGAAACTTTAACACATTCTCGACACAACGGTAAATATTTCACAATAATGACATCTTCTAATCTAATTTAAAACTTCGCTCAAATCATTTAATTTAAATCGCGCCTAATCCAACTTCAAACAAGTTTACTTACGGCAGTGATACCTTTTCTTATTTTAAACGCCTACGCGCGATTCAAAAGTTTCAATTAAAACAAATAGCATTTTCCTGAACGAACGCAGGAAAATAGATTGCTTTGATTCTCGTTTAACATCGCACGTCACGTCCGCCCACATAATTTCACCAAGTATACCAGCATCCTACATATATGTATATATATATATATATATATATATATATATATATATATATATATCGTTATCTCGTAAATCTTTACTCTGGCGCGCAAGAATTTCTTTCACATTTTTTTATTCGATATGTACGAGATGACCTAGATTGTCTTTATCCTTTTTACGCACGTATTGTTTGTTCGGAGTTAATTTGTACTTAACGAAGTTATCGCGAAATATCAATTTTCAATTATTAAACAACAAAAAAATACATATTGCAGATACGATGATATCATGCAGTTATCGGTATTTCGATTAATTGCTTGATATGAATAATTATTGTTACGAATAAATATGGAGATTATAATTGGCATGTGTCTGTAACATGTTGAACTAAATTAAATTAGTCAGAATTATTATTGATTTCCAAATAAGTTTCTATCCGTGTATTTGCGATCGATTAACAGTTAAGAACGTGGCAACACAATACGCTTGTAACTTGACGAACGGCAACTTGGGAAACATACCTCCAGCGGCGACCAAAAGCTGTTTCTATCTTAATCAACAACACTCGCAGTTGTCGAAGTCCCAGCGTTCTATACAGTCTGATCAGATGGCAATGGTGAGCGTAATGTTGTTAATAATTCTTTTATTCCGTTCATCTTTTCTCTGCTTGATTTCTGTATTTGCTCTTTCGCGCTCCGTCGCCTTCTCGCGATTTATATTATGCAAGTAGGTAAACGGAGAATTCTGTTATTACAGGCTACGTGTCGCGTGGGATTTGCGTTTAGTAGGTACTGTAATCATTGATCCATGCATCACCTAGCAAATTGCATGCAATTCTAATTTATGCATGTTGTCCACTATACTTCGACACTATAATTTATGAGCGAACCTTTAATGTAGCAATTAAAACTTATACGCAATTTGCAAAATTTGGGACATTTATTATCCCAAAATGAAGATAAATAACGATAATTATAACAAATTTTTACAATTTTAAAATTGTAAATTAACATTAAATATTATTTTGTTGTATTTTTAAAAAATTCTTGACGCTAAAAAATATCACGGCTTGTTTCAATGGCACTATTATCGCGCCGTCTCCGGAGCCTTTGTCATATATAAAGAAGAGAATGACAATATGCACTTTGTCATACTTATCTATATGCCGCCTAGGATTGATTGTACGCAGACGCGTTTCATATCTGACGCTGACACTCTCTCGCCTGGTGGCGATAAAAATTTATGATCACATTATCTAGCAAGTGAAATAGTAGTCGCATTTACGTTGTATGATTGACAGATACGTACTATTTGTAAAACTTCTTCAACCGCCATTATTTACTCTTGTTTACCTTACGTAAATGACATTGACGTGTTTGCATATCGTACAAATATTATATAGAAAGAAATGTATCATATATATATATTTATATATTTATTTATCACGTATCCTTGATCATGCGTATAATAATATACCTGTTCGTATACAATTCTTCACATTTTGATTGGCATGTGGCAATTATTTTATATACTTTCACGATGCAAATTTCCGATGAAAAGGCAATTTAAAGGGATGTTTAATACATCGGTGATGATGCGTTCACGCAAATTTGGAGTTCGCGATATAGTGCAAGTTATTATTCGGAAATTTCTCGCGTCATATCGTCCGCTTCATTGCACTTTCATCATGGGCAGAGTCGTTAATTACTTTACATCAGGGCCGTAGTCGGCCTGTATCGCGATACCGCGTTTGTTAGCGGTATTCGTCGCAAATTTAAAAGTTATCCAATTTCAGCGCGGTGCCAGAAGCAGATTGAATCAATTAGCGGTATCGGCACCTCGCGCCAAGCTACGACGAGCCTGCAGAGAGCAGATTCTCGTTCAAGCACCCAAGTCTCTTACCTCGGCGAAAGCTCATTATCGCACCGACGATCATCGACCCAGAACGATGCCGGCGAAGCCAATGACGGACAGTCCAAAAAGTATCAGGCAACCGCTGATGTCGAGCAACGTTACGAGACACTTCGCGAGGACCGGTGGAATCAGCAGCCCGGAATCGCCGTACGTCGTTAGTCATCATCAGGCCATCCGCAATTACTTAAATCAAACGATGCCACCACCGGCGCAGCAGCAGTCTCGTGAGCGAAATCGTGTGTCCTGCCAAAATAAGAGCAATCTCGTCGACAGATCGTGCACCAGTGCTGATACCGAGATTAACAATCGCATTAGAAGTACGGCGCGTAATCAAGCAAACCGGTTACAGTCGAGACATAGTTTCGACAGCGGCGTTATCCAGAGAAGATCGTCGACAATGTGCGACAGATCGGGATTCCTGGACAGTCACAGTCAGAGCCACGGTGTGATTGCGGCTTCAATTTACAAGGATCTCTGTAACGGGACTATAAACTGGTAAGCGTGTGGTGAGCGGGTTTCTCTCGTGGAGGAGCGAAAATTAGACGAGATAATTGTGCGACGATCGATCTGCTTCTTCTTTCGATGAGATCCTGCAGGATCTGGAAGTGAAACGCGTGAAAGTTCCGATCGCGTACAGTAGAATCCTTTCAGTGAGGATTTCGATAGCATCAATATAATTAAACGTTCTAGGAACTTTCGTGGAGAGTTTGTAATCGTATCCAGTGAATTAAATTTGCAGTTGAAGTCCATTTCGATGTACACCGGAAGAGAATTAAAATACGAAATCACGAATGTTTTATGTATGTGTGTGTTTCCTATATATTTATCTCTTTTTTAGATCAATTTCTTAACAATTATAATTTACATATTTAGTAAATCAACTTTTCTAATAAATATATATTGTTTTATAATATTTACTTTAATAATGCAAAAAAATAATTTTACAACGAGAGACTTGAAAAAGCTGTCGAATTAATAATTCCGTGATAAGAAACCGATGATCGTCGCGAAGCTCTCTTTATTCATCTTCGTTCATCTTCGTGCAAGAAACTAGCTGCCTCACGCGAACAAGTAAGGTTCCTAAGTAAATAAGCAAATTTTGCACGAGATAAATTCATAATTAATGCTATCAACTGCGCGTTTGATGCTTCGAGTTCTCACGGGGATAATCCGCTGGCCAAGAACGGCCCCATAAACATCAAAGTTTGGAAGCAAATACGATCTTTAAGGCTACTACAACTACCTCAATTTTTTATACCGCGTAAAATATTGGTAAGGGAAGTAGAAGATAAGCGCTGTGAATGTTCTTTTCCCCTTTCCGATAACGAAAATGCGACAATAACGAGATCGAATAAGAGATTGAATTCTTTTTCCAATCTGAAAGGGAAAGAAACATTCATCCTTACAAAGATACAGCAAGAGCGAAGTGGAGGACAGAATTCACAGAGATCACTCCGTGGAAACTCGAAGAACCCGTGAAAGCTTAGGACGTAAGGTAAACGCGTAGCGCGCGCACAATGTGACTCGATTCATGTGGGGCCATATAATGGAGCGCGTGACACACATTTTTCTATGATATTTTTATTTATACGCGGATATATATGTGGAACACGCATATATACGCATCATACACGCAACACGTAGATTTATCCGTCCATTTAGTGTACAAATCTCATTGTATATCTGTGTCGTCGTACTTTTGTACAGCGTCACTCAACAGCATGTATACTATACGTATCGTGAGAGAATAAAGTTTAATAAAGAAACTGAATACGTCCAGTATATCTATTATATAATAAAGATATGATATAATATAAATATAATAATATCTGTGTTATGTAGTAAATGGATTCGAATTAACTACTTCTTAATCAGTTGATTAATTTTCAATTAAGCTTTTACATACGTGATTATAAGCGGTGTGTGTTTCGTGTAAAGAGCGATTGTTAATGGTTCTCGGGTTCCTGTCAATTCGAAATCAATTTTCCATAATTCAAAATTCTGTTTGAATTGAAATTTCCGCGTTTCACACGCAATCGGAATATCATGAATATTACTATTAATTCCATCGGGATCTCTATGGGATAGATCGTGTGAAACGAGAAAGCTATTAGGAACGGTAACTGGTATCTCAGATCCGAATTACTCGAGCGAGAATAATTGAGCCCTTTTTATCCATCGAACCGTCAATAGCTCTCTGATGAAGAGAGAGTTACACTCGTCTTTCATTAAAAGAAAATCGGATCCATTTTCATTTTCCTTCTATTGAGGTAACACGAGCTGGACGAGACTTCCATCATCTGCGAGATGAGCTTGGAGGAGAATGAAAACAGATCGTCTTGTCTGCCTCTGGTCTACATTCCTCGCTTCTCATAAAGGTATTTCTTGTATGATGACACGTACATCGTAGTCTCTCTTAGCCTTTCCGCTGTCTCTTCGATCTTTTGATGTCTTCGTCGCATAGAGATATTCCGTATATAAGCGCATGTTGCGCATATTACCATCGGTTATTATTGCGCGTATAATCATTGGTTTATTCAAAGGATCATTTTTTTCTTCTAATAATTACATATCTTTCGAGAAAGTTTCTTTTTGCAAAGAACAGTGATTTAAACAGAAATTAATGGGAATGTTTTATGAAAAGTAATAATTTTTTGTCAACATAAAGTATAAGTGTAAAAAGATATTTTTAATTTACTCAAATCTTTCAATGAAATAAAATAATCATTTGTGTATATGCGAGATTTGCAAATTTTTATCGCTAAGTTTGAAACATTCTTTAATCCTTTAATCCATATTTTTTCATTGTTTCGTAATCGTATAAGCGAATTGTTTTAAAATCTAGGTCAATGCCCTAACAAACTGTGAAGTTTTTTATTTCGCGAATGTGATAAAAAAATTTATTTTATTAATTTAAAAATTTCTTTAAAAAATCTTAGCTAAGAAAACAAATTTTTTAATCGAATAACACATTGCAAAATTTTTTATTTATCGGATTATTTTATGCGCATCTCAACAGGTGTGTAATCTATTTTTTTTAATATCAGTCATTAATAAAATTGCCTCATTGACTTTAGATTATACATATACCTTCGGTGGAAAATATACGATGTTTTAGAAAAATCTATTTATTACGAGTTTCGTACATAAAAATCTACTTACGTCAAATTGCCAGGCTTTATGCGATTTATAAACTTGACTTAAGTAAATCATCATTGTGGTCGGTTAAATTGTACCAGCTACGGTTTTTTATATATTTCTTGTTGTGCTATACTAATCTTTTACGATCCAATGAATTAATGTGGGTCGGCATGAAAGAGCTAAAACATGAGAGATCCTTTCGGCTCATACCTTGCATGCCGTTCATTGAAGCGGGCAAAATCCCGAGCTATTTCATATTCATGCTGTAAACGCTACGCCTTCATATTCAATCCGTTTTCCGGCAAGTTTATATCGTCGAATCTCCAGATACTTAGACCATAGGGAGCGTAAAAATTGCTCGATCCATCCTTTATTCTTCCGTGACAGTGATTATTAATCGTACGAATTCCATAGCATTCCTTTTACCAAGAAAGAAATTTATCGATGTGTCGCAATAAAATTGAGTTGGTATAGAAAAAAGAGAATCTTTATAAAAACTGTCGTAAAATTACCGGATTGTTTCAATGTCACGAATCATTTAACAGCCGGAACTTTGGGAGGGATGGCTAATAGAGATAATAGATGGAAATTGAATTAAAATTTCTTCCGTCATATCTTAAGTTTTCCTGTTCTTAAAGAAAAAGTAGACTCACAATTTTCGTTTTTTCAGCATATTAATAATCTAATTAACATAATAAGTCTCTCATCATTATTTAAGTATATATTTTGCAGAAATAATATATATGATAGGAAGACTATCAATTTTATGAATTTTTATAGAAATTTTCAAGAATTATGACACACACACACACACACACACACAATGGAAAATTAATATATAATTTCAATCCAACGCAATTTATCCAACAATTTTTAGCTATTTTTTATTGAAAATACACGTAGATATAATTTACAGCATTTTAAACCCGCAATTTTCGGCTATTACAATTTTAGCAATCCTTCGACGTATTGACCTTCGCTTGGCAAAAGATCAAAGATTCTCACACGTGAAAGAAATCTTAACGTTTTATATGACTTATCGAAAATTCCAAATTACTTAATTGAAATACGTCCCTTTTTATCATGCCGCTTGAAGAAAATTCATTTGCGACGATCAAATATTTACAGAGCGTACACACTATGTGTATTATTGGCGAGTTTCTTCAATAACCCCGTCGAAAATTGATCAATGTTAAAGTGGTAGTCTCTCCATTAACGATAACCAGCGCCAGACAGTCGCCGGCGTGTTTCGAATCATCTTATTATATTCTTGTGTTCTTCTTCTTCCTACTTTTGCAACGTATTTTTCTCCCGTCGATGCTCGGAAGTCGATTAATTAATAGCCCCATCGCATCATTTATCAGCAATTCTATTATATGCATGTACGTGGGGCTTTTGAATCCCCACCATTTTTTTTCGCACAATATTCTAACAGCCATTATCGACTAAAAAAAGCACGTTCTCGCGATATCAAACGATCACGTTCTCATAAATCAATCATACAATTCGTAAAAAAAAAAATCATTTGTCAGTGGAACGATCATCAGAAATGATGAAACGCGAAAGATACATCGGTTGCGGTTGATATATATCTTCTTGATCTAAATATTTCTGGCACGTGTTATTAAAAAAATATGACAAAACACTTGCCTTGGATCTAGTCTCATAGAGAGTTTACGCATGAAGAGAAATTTATATTTGATTTATATTTGATTTGACGTTTATGCGGAAGTGTGCCTTCAGTTTCCCATCGTGTCAATCTATTCTGACAAATATTAGGGACAATTATAGTTGATTGTCACTGATGATGACAAATAGTGATGTTCCTACGATAATCACGCTAACAGTGACTTATGATTAATTAATGCTATTAACGAAAACGTTATTAACACATACACGTATGCTCTACACGAAATGCATCGTAGATAGGTTTAATTTCATGTTTATGGCTTAAGCGAGACAAATATTCCGCGCGTCTAGTAGAAAAAATGCGTCTTAGTCAGACATACATCTCGTGGACCGAATTGTCGAAACTATGATATAGGATACAGCCATCCGCGTGTTTTTTCACTTGACAGTAGTTTTCGAGTTCTCGATACAAAGTTTAAGATATCACAAACTCTGATTTTTTCATGTTTCATTTTAATCTCGGACGCTGAATATAAATTTCGAATGATTCCTTATATTTCGTTGATTCCTATTTTTTTTTAATGTATTAATAAATAAATCTGTCGCGAGGAGTTGATTAATTTTCGTTCCGTTTGGACCCATCAAATCTCAATTCGTAATCCTGCAAACGTATTGCAGTCACTCACAGAAATAAAACCAACTCAATCAAAATATGGTAGAGCGTATTTCACGTTCGTTGCACGTATGATGTTTAATAGCCTTCGGTTTATTGTGTTCGCAGCTATAACTATCGGAACATACAGAAATTTTTTAAGAGAGATATATTTTCTATAAAATTAAACCACTTTCGCAAATTGAATTTCTTTCGAGCACCACGTTTAACGTCGTGATACAAGTGGCAATCCGAGAAACTTCGGACCTGTGTGAGAAGGAGATTTTTATTTACTATTTATTTACGTTAAGTTTCTTACGAATCATCGTGACATTCGGCAATGCGCGATGAAAACGCAAGACTAAAATTTCCCGATGGAATAAAAAAATGACAAAAGTGATTCTCATATATTACGTCACAGTATTAACCGCCAAAGTATATCTGAATATTATATATATATATATTTGTAGACACACATCGCACAGGAATAAAAATCGTACATAAAAACATGTAGCCGCACAAAGATCCTTTACGTCTTCGAGACTCTTCAGCTTCAAGGGCAAGGACGTCGCTCGTCTGTGGTGCACAGGGTGCTCGGCCGGGGTTGGCTGGTCTCCAGCCCGTTGTTCTTGTCGTATTCCTGCTGCTGATCCCGTCTGGCGTCAGAATTCTCCGGCGGATTGGCCTGTGCTCGCGGTACGTCGCGGATACTCCTCAGCATGTAGCAATGCAAGTGCGGACTATGACGGCTGTAGAAGGTGTCGTAGCCGCTGCTGGACGTCGCGGTGCGTCTTAACGCCAGGACGGCGTTGCGATTTCCGCGCACGGGGATGCCGCAACCGCATCCGGGGAGCATTCTTCGCTGATGCAACAGACCGCGCCTCGCGCCGCCGTTGACAGCCGGGACACTGCATCCGCCGCAGCCGTCATCGATCATCGCGCTCTGCAACAGTGTCAAAGAGCGATCGGCTTTCGATTGCGACCCTCGATCATCATATGAACGTTGCGTGAACCGCAAGAATTCATTCTATCCAGCCAGGCGAAAATGACGATGAAATTGATGGAAAGAAAGTTATTGTAGACTCAGCTGATAGCTTAAGAATCTTACGAAAGGCGAGTTATGGGGATTAGTTTTAGATATGAAGCAGGAAAAATAGTGCGACCTTCTTTTACCGTCGAGCCGTCTAATTGAATATAGGATAGAGAGAGATAATTCTACTTATTTAGAATATCGCGTCAATGATAATGCAACATATATTGCACTGCGCGTATCTATATTGACTGTGCGTAGCTGTATTATAATTCTGTTATCTTGATCCATTTATGCGGTGAGGTCACATCAGCACTATGTGATTCAATAATAACGCTCTCGCTTTGCGTCGCGCATTTATGCTGCCTCATAACATCTTTATAATAGTTTGCGGATTTATTTTCGAGAGATTTTAAAGGCAGATTTTGCCCGCTCCTAATCCTTAACCAAGCAGCAGTTAATATCGATCATTAATTAGATTTAATTATCGATAAATTACATTAAGCGTTCAGTATACTCTATAGCTTTAATAATTTTCCGTGAAACCAAATCCGTGAAACCAAATGACAACAATAGTCAGGACGATTGTAATATGATATAAAATTGGTTCTGTAATCAAAGGACAACTAAAACCGAGAACACGCATTTACAAAATGCCTCTCGTATTTGATGAATTTCCTTATTCGACAGGAGGCTGTCGAAACCGCGTTACAAACCGCGTCGTGTACGTTCGTCACGCACTCACTATAATTTCACGTGCTTATGCGGAGAATTTATATTGGGTCATTTGATGGAATCACACAATAATGTCATGTGTACTCCACGAATTTGAAAATTACAGCGCGTGGAGTAATTCGTCATATAAATTCCATTATGGAGATATCTCTATATTTTAGAATAATTCATCGATATTAAATGCGCGCATTTGTCCTTTGTCCGTTGATTTCTGTGCGAATTGTATACGCAGTTAAATGCTTTGTGCATAAAAAGTGCATAAACATGCGAAAGGATGTATGATAATGTTACGTCGAGCTTTTCTCATGCACGTGTGTATCGAACGATACATAAATTATTTTATTACGATGTTCGATAACGAATTGCATTTAATTGTACATACATTCTCTAATTGTGAATTTTATAATAAATTTCAAGTGCTTTGAGTGTAGATAATAATTTATTTGAAATATTTTTGACATCATCACGGACATGGATGTGCGACTAAATTGCAATATAATCGTTCGCGTAATTAATGATCGTGGAAAAATGCAGCTATAATTATTCCGGATTGAATTTGTACGTTAATATTGCACGTGATCGTTAACTGAACGCCAATCATATTGCATATTTTGCAAATACATCTGATAAGCGCGATTTATATTGCATTTTTATAATTGTTTGTTTCGTGATTTTTGTAAAAAAAATCGAACCTAAAAATTTTCACTGCCATTTTTGTTTAAACTACATCATTGAGTATATCGACATATTCTCTCGTAATCCTTGTACATCTGTTGCGTTTATAGATTTTTGTTTTTAAATTTTTAAAATAAATTTCAAGGAAAATATTCATCTAAAAATACAGTGATATAGTCTACTTTATTATTATAATTTGTAAAAATTATTATATTTTATATTTTATAATTTATAAAAATTATTATATTTTTCCTTATTATAAATGACTATTTTTATTCGTGTTTTAGAAGTTTCTTTTCGATGACATATATTCATTTCGATGATAATTATTTTTTTATTTTTTATCATGTATCATTTTTTCACGGAAACGTTGTAGTGGAGTTGACTTTTAGCCAAAGTCGTATCGCATATTTTCAACTTCGTTGGAGTTAAGGGACTTCATCCAAATCCCAGTAGTATTTCTATATACACAGAAATATTCCATCCCAATCTCCTGCATTGCACGAATTTATAAAATGGTACAAACATAAAAAACACAAAATTTTATCTTTTGTAAAATACATATTTTAATTTTATTTTTATACGATTTTGAATGTGCACGATAAATTAAAAATAAAATAATAAAACATTATACTTATCTTTTATATTTAATAAATAATAATAATTGTATAAAAAATACACATAAACATAAAAGCTTCATAATAAAATACATAAAAAATTCAAAAGATACATAAAAATACATAATAAAAATACAGATACACAGATATATAAATATCTCTTATTAGTATTTTATAATATGAAAATTAGTATTTTATAATTTATGTGACATATATGCATTAATTGGGATACACATAAATGACAAAGAGATTTCAAGATGATAAATAGTACATGTATCAAATGCATATACAAAATGGAATATAGTTAATTATCCTACGGAGTTGAGCAAGTTGTAATACAAAATATGAATATGCAATTTTGATGTATATGGAATAAAACAAATAGTTTGACCAAATAAAACGTATGGAGTAATATACAGAATTTTCGCATATGTGCTCAAGATATGATATTGCCAATGCACGTATACATATTGTGTATTATATTATATTTTTTATATGAAAATATGAGTTGTTTGTTTCAATCTTTTTTTTATAAAATGTGAACTTTGCAAATAACTTTGCAAATAACGATATTCTCTAAATGTTGTTTTGAAACATACGCGTTCTGTATAATGCTTGACTAGAAATTAAGAGAAATACTGCTAGATTTATGAGCTTTTAAATTTTTCGAAAAATAATTTAAATGTCATTACTCTCTCTCTCTCTCTCTCCTCCCCCCCTCGTTCTCTCTCTCTATAAATGGGCAGGTTTTAGAAAAAAGTCCGTTCATAAATTATACATAATACAAACGAATTTTTAAAAAGCTCGAAAATTATAAAAATATATTGCACATAACAGTATTTATAACAGAAAGTATAAACTAAGGAAAATAGACTAAACGCTTAATGGAAAACAGGATACATGTATAACAATACTATCTCACATTTAACTGCGCTTTATATTTTCTTGCTTGATTTGCTGTACATGGTTCTCCTGCATGCATTAATATAAATGAATTAATTAACTTGAGTTTAGTTTACTGTTTAAATACTTGAAGTTCCGGCTGGAATTTTTTTTTCATTTACTACATAGTTCTCTCTTATATGAAAGAAAGTAAATTAAATCTGGCTTCAGGGCAAATTTGCTTCAAGAAAATAAAAGGGTTGCAAGAGGAATTTTACAATGAGAATAGCTCTTTGAAAGTGAGTACCTTGGCGATTCGTTTAGTACAGAAAGATACTTCGTCATGGAAATTCTAATTGGTATCAACAAAGGAACGGACACGAAAAGTGTGAAAATTAAGTTATCCGCTTAAAAAAATCCGTTATAAAACCGCAATATTGATTTCACATGCGGAATCTTAGCGAACGAGTATAACATATCTATTATATCTGTTGTAATTTATTACGATAATTATAGTTTATTATTTTTATCCTATCAGATTACAAAGATAATCTTATCAAATTATACGTATAGTAAAGAGAAGAAATAATAAATTACATCATAAAATTATATAATTTAAAATAGTATAGTTATAATTCAGAGAGAATATCATCTATAATATTTTTATATATTTTCTATCAAAATTTTGATCTCACAACTAAAATGAAACAATTGTTTATCATTTTTAATAAACATAGATATATAACAATTGTTATATAATATCTATGTTTATAATATAAGATAAACAACTGTTTAATTTTAAATGTGAAGTCAAAATTTTCATAGAAAATATACAAAAATATTATAGATGATATTCTAAACCGCAATACTATTTTAAATTATATATATATGTGTCTGTGTGTGTGTGTGTGTATGTGTGTAGAATGTCTTGATATATTATGTGTCGAATATTTTAATAATTCCTTTCAGCAAACATATCAACAATTTTTAAATAAAAGTCATCATTAAAAATAGTTATTTTGATTTTTTTAAATTTATTGTGAGCATCTCATCTCAGGACATATTATTCATATATTACACACGTAAGATGTAAGAGATTAGTATCCGATACTTTGCAATACAGATTATATTAAAGCTTTATTAAATATTTCAGCCGATATTCCAGAATGAACAATTAAAATCAAGCTGATAATTTAATCATAATATTGATTCTATCGAATTTTAATTAAGCAGCTACTATTTTCTCGCAATAAATTATATACATGTGTAAATTTAATATAAAATGTATATTTTATTTTTCGTTTTCTAAAAAATTTCAATTATTTATATAAAAATCACATAAATAACAAAAGTTATTCATGTTTGCGTTATATTGTTTATTAAGTTTATTATTTTCTCATATTAATAATTGATAATTGTAATAATTGTAATTATATATGTAATTTTATATTTGTAATTTTTTCATTCGCACACCTTTAAATATACTTTTGACACGATTTGACACGAGTAAATTAAATATTCATACAATTTTTACTTAGCATTGTTTATCATCGCGCTTTTCTATTATTATTATATCGATTATGATTATTACATCTTTATTAATAATCTCAATGTTAATCGAAATGTGACACCAAGAAAATTAATTATATTTAAATTATATGTTATATTCTTGATAATGAGTTTTTGCTAGCCTTGTAAGTTTTAATTAAATCGTATTATCGATCTAACGATACACTATTTATTCAAATTTTAAATGTTATGCTTACCTATTAATTCGAAAAAATTTTCTCATCGAATTTTTCTAAAATAAATGGCTTATAATCATGAAAAGAAGAAAAATTATCTTAGAGATATTAGTTAGAGATCTGCATTTTTTTTTCAATTTTACTTCGAAATACGTTCGCAATGAATAAAGTTTGAGGAGATATAAATTTATGTCAATGCGATAAAAGAATTTTTAAAACTCAGTTCTTGTAAAGCTCTGCACGGTACATTTCAAAATAAGAAAAAGTGAAGATATCCACCTCCAAGTAGAATTATTGAGTTTTTCATTGCTTTGATTTCTAGAATTTCATCAAAAAAATTGAAGAAAGAGGAAAGGTGAGAATATATTTTCGCGAACACGGGATTTTATAAAAACGGACTATAAGAATTGATTTTATTGTTATATAAATCAAGTTATTGTTATGTAAGCTAAGTTTTAAAAATCTTTATAAAGTAGGAAGTGATTATATTAGTTATTCACGTATGTGTATGCGCGCAAAAATTTGCAATTTTATATTTCAGATTAATTTTAATTCTTTCAAGATTATTGCATTAAATAGAGTATAAAATAGAAAGGAGATACTATGCAAGGAGTTTTACATTATTCATTCAAATAACGTGCATATTCGCCATTTATTTTATCCTATTCTATTGTAAAGGTCATACTGAGATCAATTTAAAAGTTGCGCGAAGCACACTGAACTTTGTCTTATTTTACTCATCAGTCGACAATAGCCTTCGGCATAGTAGAAGCATTCAACTGGCGGACAATTGTTATTTGGAGTAAGGAACTTCCAATAAAGTACTTGACGCAAGTTCAGTATTCATTATTAGGCGATTATTATGCCAACAGGCATATCATACATACGTTAATTTGAGATTCATCTTCATTTTCAATTAATTATGACGCATTAAATGTAAATCAGTTATATATTCCGCTGCAAAGCTTTAAAATTTAAGAGATTGTTATTTCAGTAAGAGAAGAATAAATAAAAAATTCATATAATTTATGGCATTATATTTATACATTTTAATTGGTTGATATTAAACATCAATATAATGAAGAAATAATTAGTTTTGCTTTTATATTGTTTATATTTCCAATGTTGTCTGCTTTCCATCATATTTCCGTAAGTTGTATAATTAATTTCGTACGGCGAAGAAAATCTTATAATTAAAAGATGCAAATTCAACAAGTTTTTATCGCGTAGGTGTAAAATCCGTAAGAAATTATTAATGCCGTTCATGAAAGATAAGCAAATAAAGTATATAGATAAGGAAAAGATCTAATTGAACGATATATGGATAGTGCTCACATAAACGTTCTCTTAAGTGAAATATAGAAACTCGCTCAGGGGAATACTTAGATAGTCTCCTAAACATCTACGTAGCAACAAAAATACTTTTGCCCCTTTTTTCCTAGAAAACGAAAGAAATCATTGGATTCTAGTATAAAATAAAAAAGAGAGGATTTTTCTATATAAAATAATATTAGTAAATGTGTACAAATAACGTAACAGAAAATACATCAGATCCAAAGGATTTTTGGTTAATCGTTTTAAAATAAATTTTATTTTAGAAACAAGTTTTTTTTTAATAATGATCAGCAGAAATAACTATTTTATCTGTTAATTTATTATTGGTCTGTTTACATTGAATCTCTGTCTATATGTGCAAATATCATTTGTTTCAATTAGATATAAAAAACACTTAACAATCCATATTGTTTGTAATAATATATGATTTAAATCGTAGTAATATTCAAAATATGAAATACATCGTAATTCGTGCAAAATTAAATATCCAATTTTATGCTCAAAAATGTCACAGTTATTTTGTATTAGTTATTATTTCTGAATAGTATTTAGCAATAATTTCAAGCAGTATTTTCCATGAGAATTTTATGATTTATATGAGACGAATAATTATAGTAGCGAGCACTCGAGCAATCCTATCACTCGCGATCGTTATTTCTTCGATCTTATAAAGTGAGCTTACATCAACTGCAATCGTACGTTCATTAAAAGATTAGCCAATATTATGACAGATGAGGCGAGAATATTATTGAAAAATATACTCTCCACGGAAACAAGAAGTTTTAATAGGAAGATGTTTTTATATAGGAAAGAAGTCCTTATGCGCCCTGATGGATTCAACTTGCAAAGAGCTTTTTTGTTCTTCCAGTTGAAAATATCTTTTTTAACGTGTATACTTCCCCACATGCATAAACATATTATACATATACATATATATTATACATATACATTTCGTGGTACACCGTATGCATTGCAGTATATAACTGGTACTTACTTTACGGCGAGGTTTACGACGCGCAAGACCATGAGAAGTGCGACGCAGGATCTCCGAAACACTGCGCCGAAAATTGCGCGTCATGAAGCAGTAGATGACGGGGTTTAGGGCGCTATTTGCGTGTCCCAGGAACAGGCAGTACGTGAGTGCGTCGGTTATCGATCTCCCTTCTTCTGCGAACAATTTTCAATGGTCTTTTTGTCGCGACTCTTTTCTGATGCGTGTGAAAAATTAATTAAAATTAATTAATGCATCGTCATATGTTGCTGATATAAAAACACTCGTATTTTTCTTTTGCGAGAAGAATACGAAAGTATTTATACTGTAAAAGTATTATACTGTGAAATATAGAACAAGTTGTGGTAAATTATGAGAAAATTTGTAATAGAGCGACTGACTTTTTACATCATATTATTCTATTTTGCATCTTTTTCAGTAAGCTAATTATTAAAAATGATAATGAATCTGTATTAATGACTTTAATCGACAATTTGAAAAGTCTTTTCTTTTTACAGAAACATAGACATAAGCGAAAAAAATTAATTAATGAAATTAAAAAATTAATTTAATTTGAATTGTAGAGATAATGTATATTGTTGATAAGAGTGCACAACTAAATGGATAGAAAAAGATATATAAAAGTATTTTAACAAAAGAACGAGTACATTTATGACACAATAATGTAAAGAGCAGCTCATAAACGAATTTCATAAATATATTTGCATAAAGGTTTAAGTAGGTTAAAGTAGACGTGTGATGATATGAAACTTATGCTCGTTTCAACAAACTGTATATCATTCTTACAATAAACTACAAGGTAATTCGGAGAGTTAAACAGACATATTTCAGATAGTTTATAAACTTGGATTAATTTCGTGGATTAATAAGCGCATATATATACAAAATTTGCAATAGGATCTTTCTAAATTTTAAAGATAAAAAATTAAAAAAAAATCTATTATTATATTTCACGACTGTTTACATAATTTAATTTGGATGCAATTTTAAATGTGTAATATGTCAAGACTCTTCATTGCAATGAATGTATTATCATAAGATTATTTATTCGCAATTATTTTGTATTTTGACATAAATACAATATATATATATCAAGGAAAGAAAAAAGAGAAGAGAAAGATAAAAATATAAAATTACATAATGTGTGTAAATATATTCATTTTCATTATTTCTATTTCGAAAATGCAGCGTTGTCATTATTACGCATGGTTGCTTCCTAATTTTCTATGCGTAGTAGTATTATTCGAGCTTCGCGTATCTAAGCAACAGATGCTAAATTATCCCTGAATTTAGGGACTTCTCGACGCGAATAATTTCGAGGATTTTAACCAAATATCCTCTACCTATTCACAGCTGCCAAAGTAACATTACTTGTATCGGTTCATTAATTTGGTAAAATTTCTAATAACTCATCCGTAGAAAATTGAATCTCTTTGTGCATATTTCTCTACATATATATTCTTTTTATGCGTGCAATCGATTCATGATTTATAAAAGATATAATCGCTTGGTTGCGTGAAAAAAACAAAACAGATGTTTTTTTACAATGAATAATAGAATGGAAGCCTATAATGGAGATGAGTACACACGATTGATCATAAAAAGCTGTATGGATATATACAGTGTAATCGGAAGTTGGAAGTGTTTCAAATGCACGTAAATATTTTAACTGCAAGTGAAACAAATCATGAAATATTCCTAAAATTCCAAATTTGTAGAGTTCATTTCTCATAGTTTATTTATAATCAAATCATCGTAACAAAATTTAAAAATGGATACATATATCTAGCCAGGAATATGGGAGGTATTTTAAATATCCATGAAATTTTGACAACTTTTAATCACAAGATATCACAAGAAGAGCAAAAATTACGAAATCGCACTCACCGACAACACCGAAATCGACCAACAATCTGAGCACATTATACGGCAGCCAGCATAGGGCGAAGAGTACGGCAAGGAGCAGCAATATCCAAGCGATTCGCCTTCTCTCACGTACCAGTCTGAAGCTCTACGAATAGGAGGTATCAGCGCGTCTACTGAATTTAGATTGGAATTAATCGTACGCCTAATGGATTCCGCGGGGATTAGTGTAAATAGGTTTCGAACAATTACGGGACAGACGAAACAACACAGACCGATCAGCTGATTCGAGTCGATCGATTGTCACCCTTTGAGTTTTATCGACTAAGCGGATGATATATTTTTTTCACAAAAATGCACGATGGAGCGATTGATCGCGTCGCGAAAAGTAATCGACAGGCACTTTGAGAAATTTCTCTCGTGTCACCGGAATAATTTCATAGGAAATAAAGGTCGTTCCTTGAAATTATGTTATTAGCAGTTATTTATATGCTGGAAGGTCACTAGTCACGGGTGTACATACACGTATATTCTTCAGTAATATCCCGCTGTGGAAATTGCACGGTGTCACTCGGAGAAAACATATAATACAATCGTACAATACATACAATACAATCTCACAAAGTTCGCGGAGCAAATGTTCGTGGAGCTCGTTTGTAGTTTATTTGTAACTAATTCCTCGCATCATGGTGCAGATGGTATTGTGGCATACGGAGAAAGAGATCAGATCGGTATCACAAAACAAAATTGTACCAAGAATTAAATTCCAGAAATTAAATTCCAAGAATGTAATTTCTCTTCTTCTTAGTTAATTTTTATTTAGAACAGTATTCTAGCTTATGGATTAAGTTGTTTTCATATTTTTTACGTTCTATTTTTTATCGATTAACGAAAATAAGAGAAGAAATATCCCTTAAATCAGGCGTGATTACCTTCTATAAAACTTTCCAAGTTGTAATTAAAAAGTTTTAAATATAAAAAATTTATTGTTCTTTTTTACGAAAGAGAATATTAATAAAGTTTTTACTAACCTTGAATTCTAATAAAAGTCAAGTCGTATTTAACACCTTTGAAAGAGTGAATGTGAATGACGTTGCGAAAAAGAATAATATGGATGGCAAATTTCTCGTCATTGAATTGCAATTATTATCGGCGACGAGCTCGCGTACAGATTCGACGGACTTTAACAAACTAGAGTGGGATTTCTGTCATAAAGCATTTGGAATGACGTGATTCGATTAAACTCGACGGGAAGATATCTTTCGACAGACTTTCGCAATCGGCAGTTGCAAAATAGATTTACGATAAATGATTCGCGCTCACGCAAATTCAGGTATCGCTTTGTAAACGCGTCGTGTAACAGTTTTACGTTTATTCCACTCGAGTGATTACAATCGTGCGCCATGCGATTGACATATTGCGACAAATAAACGAAATCGCAGGTATTTTTACCGATAAAATAAAAAAAATAAAAAAAAAAATATATATATATATACCGCATCTAAAAGTAGGATTGTATCTTCTAATAAATAGAGTCGCGCAGGAATATCTATTATAAAACTATTGAGTTTGATCAATGAACATTTCATATTAATTAATGGTCATTGGATATCATATATCATATTAAAGATAATTTGATCTAACCTGCTGCGAGCTGGCGCTTCCCTCGACGCTGTCGCAGTCAAAGGGTGGTTTCCTAGAGCAGAGGGTGCGGCCCATCATCGAGTACGCTAGTATTACGACGAAACCTAAATCGTCCAAAACACGTAATAAGAAAGAGCCGTTGTAAAAGAAGACGAAAACGAAGACAAACGATTCTATAAATCACAGTGTCCAAATTACAGAGCTGGGACACAGTAATAAATATATAATTAACATTATGTCAAGGCTAAAATTTGTTGTCGCATTAACTGATTATATCTAATTCTCAAATTGACAATTTTTTTTATAGCCAAGGAATTCTTGGATCTTGAGATTTTATTGAGATTGAAGTGAGAGACAAGAATATGCGGAAAAAAGCGTCACTGGCAGTAAACGTTAAGGGTATTCAGGTACCACATCACGTGCGCCGTCACTCTTTTTAAATCAATCAACAATGATTTGTTTTCGACTTCCCTTCATAGCTGCAAGAACGTATACTTGTTTCTAGGCACGACAATGTATGCCATTTAGTATTCAGGTTCGCGAAAAGAGTGACAAGCAAATATATATTTGCTTGTCACTCTTTGCAAAGTTGAATACCGAAGTGATTTAAGATATTAAGAAATTCCTTTGAATCTTTATTTGAATCTTTAAAGAAACGAGAAAAAGCGAAATTTTAAAGTCTTAAAAATTTTTTCGTTAAATTGTAAACAACGCACATTTATAAATCTTGCAGAAATTCAAGAAATCTAATTATGAATATTATATAGAAATATTAAAGATCATATAAATTCATCAAACTAGGTTTATATCAAATACGAATAATTTATAATAGTTAATTAATCATAACCGCGCATTATAACACGCGATAATAATTGATAGTAATAGGATGATAAAATAATTACATTTGACCTATCATAATATCGTTAGTGACACATATCCGTATTGATGTTCTCCCTCATTTCTCCCGTATAAAGTTTGCTCGAAGCAATATAACCGATATCATTTTTCTTGCGATGAAGCCGTATAAAAGAGAAAAAAAAAATTCGTTATTAATTATGTAAATTTACCTGGAATAGCGTAAACAAGGACGAAGCATGCAGCCCCGAAGACATGAGCTCTGATGCCTAGTGGTCTGAAATCCTCCGAGCATATATAGAAAACCGGTGGTAATTGCGAGATATCGCGCGAATTTCCTCTTATCGCCCAGGAACCGTGGAAAGTTATGTTGAGGAGTTCCATGCTTGGATTGTGAAGAGTCGTCTGCAAAAAGAAATGAAACTCGTGATAGCATGACAGTAGAGCAGACATAACGCTACGTTCAATTTCGCAATATGTAGTATTTAATACAAAAATCTCTCTTACGAAATATGATTCTGACGTAATTCGTTAAGAAATTTTCAACATTTTGCTTCCTTAGTTAATGTTCCTAAATTAATTTTCTAATAATATCTATTTTCTGTAGGCCTAAGATTAATTATTATTGCATCGTCATTGATGCGCTAAATAGATCGCGGATTGAAGGACTTCAATAATTGATATAACTTTGTTCTATGATGTATACGTGATTAATTTAACTAATGGACGAATGCTCATTTGCGTGCTATTCATTTGCATTTCATTCTTCCCAACGATCTTTAGTCGTCTTGCAATATGTTTAGAATCCATTTAGCCACAATGCCATTCTTTAATAATCGTTGTTGCAAACAATGCTTACAATTGAAAAGAATGGCTTATTATTACTTATTTTTATGGCCGTTATTATTTCAATTTTTAATTTATGCATTTCAATTTTTTTTTAGTTTTTTTAGTTTTTTAGTTTTACAACAAAGATAGTAGTAGAATTTGATGATCAGTAAAGTTAATGATATTTCGTCAATTGCTTATATTAATTATAAGTAGGTTAAATGTCATTGCATTACATTCATTGAATTAATTCGATTATTTATTATTGAAGGTGTGTAACGTTAATCAATTAAGAGGTTTATTTAAACGTGAATGTGAAGGAAAAAACGCATTTTTTTTTTATCGAACCCTCTCAGCAAAGAGAATCCTATTCTAGGCTTTATGGGGTTTGCCCCAAACAACATTCAGCGTATTTGGTTGTATCGCCATTTAATGATCGATTCACTCACCCAATAATATCATGTTACACCCTCACTCATCACAAGTATCTTGTTACAACGTATAAGTTAATGTATATTCAGTGCATATCATATATTTCTCATGTCTCTGTAAGAATTTTGCTTTTGACGTTTTTTGTTTTCTTGAGATATTCCATATTGCATGTCAGCTTATAGGTTCAATGTCGGATTAAAGAAGAGATTCCAAGTAAAATTTATCCTGAGGTGAGATACGCGATGTCAAAATATTTTCAGACAAAAACGGAACGTTTTTATATAAAATGTATTTCTCTAAAAAATGTAAAGTTTATGTCAAAAGTTCGCTCTATTATTATTGCACACATATTTTTTCAAAGATCAAACTTCAATGCAGGTTTATTACGAGATTCTCAATAATTGTACGTATTTAATTTCCCAAACCTGAGTGCCATCAACATTTTCCACACTTGAAAAGCAATTTTGATGATTGACGAAAAGAAACTGCGAGAAAAAGAGCGGCTTATTTTATTTTTACGTTACCTAAATTTTGCTTACGCTCGTCAGTCAAATAGAGTACGTGCACAATACGGGCATATCGAGCAAAGTGACTTCTTGGGAAAAACGGGAAACGCGGATGTAAGCACGGACGCAGCTTTGTGCGAAAGGCTATACTAATATGGATCGGTCGAGTCAACTTCGATTCGCGTTTCGCACGCGACGTCGATTTCAGCATCGCGTCGTCGACGGCATTTCCATTCTGCAATGTATGCACTTCTCTCGTCTTGTTTGAATTAGTTTAATCTAAGCTATATTTGCCAAATCCTCTCTCTGCTCCCCTCTCTTCATACGAGCCGGTACACTAATCCGTTATTTGCGTATCCGGCTTTCACGAATATCCCTCTGATAATTTCGCGATCGTTGCACTTTCCGGTATTTTCGATAGACTCATGTTTCGTTGCTCTTTTGGGAATGTCATCTCAAATTTCTGTTTATATCAGACAAACCAGATATGAAAGCTGGAGATTATTTATGCGAATATTTATGGCCTTGAGCACAGACATGCAAAAACGGCCGTTCGAACGGCCGCGAATGTACATGTTGTGGACAAATACATTCTCTTTTGGTCATGGGAAGAGATTTACATGAGAAGAAACGTAGAAGAATAAATACATCCCAGCGGGTACGATAAGACCGCAAAATACCGTCTCGTGCGAGATCCCGTTTCTCTCGAAGGAATCAAAGTATATCCCAATTCGCGTGTATATCATTTATATTCTTCGTGCGAGTAGATCCGCATTAACAATCGCGACGCGATTCTTCTGATAAATTCACTTGTAAATCCATTTGTACGATCGTAAAAATAAAATTCTCAGGTTTGTAAATATTTGTCGCATTTCTACAAATAACAAATACAAAATTTCATGTTATTTCAAAATAAAAATATTCGAAAATGCTCAAAAATTCAAATATATATATATATAAATTTTATTTGTTTCAAGTGAAAGATTTCGTTATATGTGCACAACATATGAGCGAATTGGTGGATTACCCGCAGTTTTTTGATGACAAATGTCGATACGTTCATCGTATAATTAAACCGGAGCTCAATGTCGATTCGGAATTAAGATTTCACTTACCCCTCTGAGAACGGGAGCAAAGATACTTAAGGCCACCAGCCAGAGGGCGACGATAACGAGTACGGTGCTCTTGCGATTGAATACACGGCGAAACGCCATGGGACTCCTTATGGCTAAATATCTGTCAATACTCATGGCCATAATGGTGAATACCGAAGCAGCAACGGCAACACCTATAAACGAGTGATCAGATGATTAGAAGAAAAATTCGAGTACATCGTCGCGCTTTTTTTAATCAATTTTATTCTCGTTTGCCTAATCTAATTTCGTAAACGTGTGAAATAGACCATATAAATTGAATCGTTACTAAAAGAAAGACAATTGCTTTAATAATTTATTCTTAATAAAATCTTATCTTAATTCAAAGTCACTTTTTAGTTGCGACTGTTTAATTTAAAAGAGCTTTAATTTGTTTTAATTTTCAATTTTTTAATGTTTTTATTGTATATTGTAACTTCATTCATATGTATTACGAAATATTTATGAAATATTTTAAACACAACGAACATGCAAACATCAATTTATATATGAAATACACAGTAGCAATATTGCATTATTTTCAGGATGTGTTTGCTTGTTAAAAATTACAAACTAGTTTTATACATGATTCTATTTCGTATCACAAGTGATAACAAAATAATGTTTTTATATAAAATTATTAAAAAGTTACTAAAAAAATATGCCCCTCTTTGACCATCTTGTCAATAATTCAACAAGGGACATTTATGCGCTTTGATTTTCATATCATTAACGGGTCTTTGAAAGCTTGTTATAAAGAGACTTAATTACATAATATGCGCAAACGTTACATTATTTTATGCTTTTGTCAGGAGACTCGCTCGAGATTGTTATCGTCTTTACTTGGATTCCATCAGTTGCCGCACGTGATGTATAAAATGGAAATTATTTGGAAAAGAGGGAGAGAAAAGTTGCAAAGAGATATGTCCTTAGCGAATACGCAAAATCAATTATACGTTTCTGCATTTTAAATCGCTGTACGACATTAATGTATGCAAAAAGCAAGGTCATGCTAAATAAAGCCTCCCGTAGAATAACATATATCCGTCGTTTCTTTCTGCGATTTAATCTAACAAAGGCGTGCTTAAAGAAACGAAGAAAAATATCATTTATAATTATATTTTTCCTTGTTTCTCTAAGATAATTTGAAATTAGAAATATTTTTTTCTTTTTGTTATTATTTTTAAATTTTTTTCGCGAAACACCGAAAAATACATTAATAAAAACTATTAAACATAAAGAAAAACAATAAATCCGGTCCAAATGATAAAAATACAAAATAAAATAGAAAGGCTAAGAGACCGTGGCGCAAGGTGTTAGAGCGTAAAAATAATAATAAAAGACTCTAAGTAAGAGACATAATATATTAAAAATCAGTTAGATATAAAATACATACGTACGTAAAAACTATTACAATAAACTTTAATTATTTTAGGTAGTATAAATTGCTAACGTAAGAATCAAAGATAAAAGTATGTATAATAATGTCAAATTTGAGCAATTACAACGTTAATATTTTATGCAATCAGTTTTCTGTACCGTGCATAATGTATGTCGTTTCGAATCATAATTTCCATAAATCTTCGTTCCATTAATAATGCGAAAACAGTTTTTATAGCGGAGTGCTTTCTGATTTCCTTCACCTACTTTTCTCTTCCTCGTTCTTTCATATGTGCATACATAAACGGTGATAGCATGTCTAGTTAAGATAACATAATAACACGTATAACAAAGATAAAATGTGAATATGAGTTGAATGTATGTTAGAACATAAAATGTCAAAGAATTTGGCTAATATTACATTACATGAAATTACATATGGAATTCCACATGTACGTTCTATCTGGATGATATGTGAAATAAGTCATTTTGATGAAGATATATTTGAAGCATCTTTTTATCACTACGGCAAGAATCATTATTCTTCTTTAAATTGTTTGAGAAAGGGAAACTTTCATCTAGATTGAAAGCGAACGGTTGTGAATGTTTCAAGGCAAAGAAAAATGTTAACAGATGCTTTGAAGAAATGCGAATACGTGTAACTTGTTTGATGCTTTATGTTAGGTGCGCACACGCGTGTAAAAGATGGTAATATTATTTTAGATAAAAATACAACGCTTTTTCCATTGGATGCTGCAGAAACGTTACACGATATTAAAACCGCGCGAACGCGTTTTGCAAAACAGGAACCCATTACCATAGAACGATGCATAATCGAGTTGCTTACGTACCCGAGTTGTCTGATAAACATCCGACGCAATAATCGCGAAAACGATCGAAGCAACAATAAAATCAGCGTGCAATTTTTATCGACTTGATTTCATTTTTTTTTGCTACACGATGGAATAATACATCATAGAAGTTTGTTTGTTATTTACAAGCCTGTATAAAATGTAAAAAAAAACGTAAAATGTAGAAAACTGGCAAAAATACGCAACTATAAAAGTGATAAAATCAACAATGATATATCGTTGCGAAATATCAAACAATGAGTAATATAAACACATCGCGAAAGATTGAAGTGCGATCGAAATAAAAATATTCGATTCCTTTTCTGCAAATTTTTTAAACATGAAATATATATACTCACCCTGAAGATAAGAGGAAAGTTTGCACATAAGTTCACCATGACTCCATACAATCGATACCGCTTGGCTGACAGCAACCGGCATACATATAATGGTAACCAATAAATCGGCGACAGAAAGGTTCACCACAAAATAGTTTGTAACACTGTAAGAAAAGATATTTTCTTTTTATTTTCGCATAAATACAAAAACTATAACTTAATAATATATATATATAAATTTAAATATAACAACAACTTAAAGTTCAATTGTATGTTCTATCAGATTTAACATTTTCGTTTTCCATTTTCTCGCAATCTTATATCAATTAGAATATTTTTTAAATATATGTATATTTTTTTGTCTGTGTATTTCACAGAATCAATTTCTTTGTAAAAACAGATACCAATAGTATATCGTGATAATCAATACATCACTAAATTGAGAGTTAACCGACGAAATGGTTGGTCATATTTCTATTTCTTAGTCTATTTTTAAAAAAAAACTTTGTTTGCCTATTTCTTTTTTATAAATATTTTTATAAATATACGTTTTTATAATATAAATTTTTTATAAATATACGTGCCTTGGAAACATCGCGCGATATCAAATCTACTCCAATATCTGTTAAATATAATTGTTTTGCTATCTAGTTTCTCCATTGGGAAATTAAATCACAATTCCTTATCAAATATTCTATAGTGTTACTATCCTTTATACGGAATGCGCTTGAAGTACAAAGGTCATAATGAAGATGGAATAAATGACAAGCGCATTGTCCTTTGTACATCGACAGGAATATTATCGACATCAAGAATCAAGGGATAGTTCCTCGTTACATTTTGCAAGTACTTGTTCATCAAAGAGACAAACATCATTGTCAGTTACTGAAGCATCAGAGAAGTTGGCGTGATCTTTGAATACTACACCCACATTGCATCGCCCTTCTTTGTCCGTTCAATTATTCTGTTAATTTGCTGATATTGTAACGAACTTGTTTAATTTTTTTGTTAACAAAGAAGAAATTCGACAGAGATATTTGCTTTTAATGACAACTTTGATTAATGAATATATTTCATTCATCAAAAAATTCAGATTTATTTTGTTAAGAATTGATTATATATTATATTAAGAAAGAAAGAGACAGAGAGAGAGAGAGAGAGAGAGAGAGAGAGAGAGAGAGAGAAATGTTAAAAAAATATTCATCAAAAATATATCAAGAAAAACATTATTGTAAATATATAAACTTCAAATATATAAAAAAAATATATAGAGCAAAATGAAACATATTAAATAAAAGAGATAATAGAAAGTAAGAAAAACAAATAAAAATAATTATGTCGTAATAACAATAATATAACATAAATGCAGAATAAATTTATTTTTTTAATGTGCTGACATTTTCATAAAGCAAATTCAAATTAAATGTTATCCGTATATTATCCAGTAATTACCTCTTTTATAAGTTTTTCCTTTGAAGGTATCACTAAATTATTTTTGCTTTGTGTGATTTTGCAATCATCCAGAGAGCTATGTGAAAAAATGACGAAAATAATACAGTCGCGCTGTAGAAATATCGTTTCAGAGATGAAACGAAACGAGAAAGCCGAATTTATCCGGTGACAAGATTGAAAAGCAGACAGCATGAAACAGTTGTTCCAATGGCTGATCGTGGTCTTTGTTTGTGTGATTCTCGTGCATCTCGTATGGGAGCCAATTCCTGGGCGAAAAATAAGCGTCGAGCTTCGCCCAGCTGTTACGTACGTTCATCTATTATGAACGACTCACCGGTGGTTATTTGTAAGGGATGCGATGCTGTATATCGTTAGACATAAGCGGTCACAGATACATACAGCTTTGCGAAATGTTTGAAATTGTACCCGGAATACATTCTTCTTCGTTAGAGCAATAGTCTGCATCTTCTTCGCAGTCGGGAGTAGACAAGTTACTTCGGTGAAAATTAATGTTTCTCTCTAATGCAACATGAGCGCCCGTGTTAAATATTCGAATATAGTTTTCTGTTTTCTAGAGAATAATACATTCTTGCAGTTTATACTAGAATGCGAGATGGAAAAATGAATGAAATTGAAACCAGCAACATTGGACACTGCGAGCTTTGTGAAAATTTTAAAATTAATCGATACAGATTTTGCTTTCAGATTTTCAATTGTACGTTTTTCTCTATCTCGAAATATACAGATAAACTATTTGAAGCATTTCCTTTTTCTAACATTTTGCATAAATCAATTATTTCGAATTTGTCATAAAAATTGCTATTGTCGCCAATTATTGTATTTATTGGCAAATTTAATCGAAGCTGTTGCAATGCAAATCGAGAGAGATTACAGAGATCTAATACGCATATTTCCAAAATCCTATATCTAAGCAGAAAATGACCATGAAAATGTATGTAGCGATCAATTCTGTTCTGAGAGAGATTATTATGCGATGTAATGTGTAAGCTTATTGATGTTGTGATGCAAGAATGCCGCATATTCAATTAACCAATTCAATAATTCCATGAAATGATTTGATAAAACATACATGTGGTGTCAACATGCATGTGGTACTTGTTCAATTACGGCTGTAATTCGGAAGAGTAATTGCACATAGTTGTCACGAATAATAGCATAACCAGACTATCATGTCTGTGTCTATAAACAAATTATTTGTAATGCGACCTTCATAAGGATGCATTACCATGTGCGTAGGAATAATTACGATCTTCAAGGTTGTCAACATGAATATTCTCGTGTAAACAAAACTATGAGAATCAAATTACAGGAGTGAACAATCGAGCTTTGGATTGAAAGTGTGAATACCGTAATTACTCTAGATTACTAATTGTAAAAATGTTAAAAATAGCGGTAAAGATAATAATGTTATTACGCATTAATTGCGCCAATCCTTTGTAACTAATTTATCTAAGCTTTATTTAGATTATTACCACTTGGCTTACTCAAAATCATAATTGTTGGCTATTTGATCCGGTTATATTAAACGTAGCGATAGCAACATCTTGCGGTAAACCGAACTGCGAATGAAAGGATAGTTCGACCAATCAAAGTCCGTGTATTCGGAAATCCGTTATCTCCCTCCCTTGGGCTTTCTGTATGTGATTTACGAAAATCTCACATGATTCAATTCGAAATTGTATTCCATATATCGCGGTTGACGTACGAAATCGAATATAGTACTGATAAATCGCGTTCATCCAGTTCATTTCTACTATTAATCCTTTTTAATGCTTGCATCTACGTATATGAAATCTCCATTACATGAAATAAAAATAAAATAGACTTCTCTTCGTGAGTAAAATATATAAATGAAAATTTAATGCGCGACATATATTTTTAATAAACAGTAGTAAATGTAGAGATTTTTTACACCTAATTTATATTTATAAAAGATTATATTATATGTGACATTATAAAGATTATATTATAAAAATATCACGCATTATAAATATTTTCATTGAATTATTAAAAATTTTTCTAGTGTAAGAAATGTTGTTAAATAAACATTATAAAGTATTAGGTATATAAGTTATCATAAGCATCTCAAATGCTTATTTTTCGAATATTATTCGCAGATCCCATTTTATTTGAAAAATCTTACTGCATGTCTCTACTATAATTCCATATAAGCATGTCCAGCTGCGTTTACATTTTTGTCACGTAAGATCTCTTCCTCTCGTAATTTCTATATTGGTTAAAATGATAATTATATACACTTATTTATATTGTTTAATTAGCATCTCATAGCTATTATCTTTATAATTGAGATTCTACATACCTTCCAAGTAGAAAGAGAGAGAAAGAGAGAGAGAGAGAGAGAAAGAGAAGATATTTAGAAAAAAGAGAATATTTAGATATTTTATTTAAACATGAATGCACACCCATTTTTATGACATATAAAAAATATTCCATAAAATTTTAAGATACTCTGTTTTGTTATTCAATTAAATAAATATGAAAAGCTACCAAATATAAAAAATATAAAAAAATTAAAAAATATAAAAATGTAAAAAAATTTAATATCTGAAATTAAATATCAAAGGTAAAACTACAAAAAGTGATGCTAAATACGTGAATTTTGTACAATTACTCATATAACATTGACGACTAAAATAACTGACTGTCACATCTATTTCGCGAAATAAATGATTTTACGCTATAAATATTTACGTTATAAATATAATATATCAAGAGAACATACAAAGAGAGAGAGAGAGAGAGAGAGAGAGAGAGAGAGAGAGAGAGAGAGAGAGAGAGAGAGAGAGAGAGAGAGAGAGAGAGAGAGAGAGAGAGAGAGAGAGAGAGAGAGAGAGAGTGAGAGAGAGAGAGAGAGAGAGAGAGAGAGAGAGAGAGAGAGAGAGAGAGAGAGGAGACAGTTGAGAGATCGTGTGAGCACACATATATTATAAAATGTCATATTCGTAAGCACAGGAAGACAAATTATATCTTTTCCTATATATATTGCTACAAATTTATAATGCTTTTGTTAAGCTATAGATAGATATTATTTGAGTAAATATTATACACAAGCAATTAAACGAAACGTATTGAAATGCGAAAATGAATTTGTCATACGCTTAAACAAACTGCATAATGTTCACATGATATCCCTGTGGTAGTTCATTAAGAATATCCTTCTATCTTGTACGAAAATAATGAGCGCTTGACATATGAAATAATATTAGCAGAAGAGCAAAGGAGAAAGATTGATTTACTCGGATAATGTTATTCAGCGCGTGATATATATTAAAAGAAGTAAAATTGTCGCAATACATTATCAAAAATTAAGAAAAGAGACGTATGGACTTTTTATTTTTTACACTTCTATAAATTTTCAATCTCCTTGATATTTTAAAATTAATTTTTAACTTTGAAGATTGTAGATTTAATTTTGCAGAATCAATTTATATAAATTTAAAAAAAAATATAAGTATAAATACACGAACAAGTATGATTTTATTCTTTAATATTATTTTCAACAATGTGAATTCGTTACAAACTTACAATTAGAAATGCAAACTTTGAATGCTGCATTATGTGTATAGCAAACTCTGAATTGTATCTAGCCTCATGTGCTTGCATAGATAATGCAATGCTATATCACTGGAGAATCTTGCTTTATTCATCATTGTTTTATATTGTTTTGCCGTAGTTAGCTCTCTCTCTCTTGCTTTCTCTCTGTGTCTCTTTCTCTTTTCTCTATCTATTTTGCATATACATATGATGTAGAAGGTACATGATATACATGATTGAGAAGCTAAAGCATTATGAGACGCCGTCTTCTTCCGAAGCACTCTTGATTTCAAGATAATACAACTACAATATTATTTAAATAAAATTTGTATCTCTAAACATATATATGCTTATTTTGAAAAGATTACAATTTAATAATGATTATAATATTCATTTTTTAAATATTTCAAGAATTATAAATAATAAATATAAAGAATCTGTAATTATTCAATATAACTTGATATAAATGGAATTATAAAGGGAACAAAAAAATAATATTACAAAGAAAGTAGCTTTCAATTTTTCCCAAATTTTTAGCTACGATAAACTTAAATTACAAATACGTCGCAAACTTTATCTAACGTTCAATTAAAGGCATCCCTCTTGAGAGATTCGGTACTCGCATTATTGAAATACTTTAGCGTAATTCAGGTAACCGAAGGATATCAAACCGTCTGCAAGTTTCAAATTATTGTCCTTTATAAACCGCAATAGAAGAGTTAGCAAAGTGGCATTCAAAATATCGCAATGATATTACATTGCATGAAGAGATGTCATAAAATATGCAAGCAAAATGTTATTAAAAGGTCTTTATTGAGTCTGTCTTTTCCTCTTTTACCGGAAATTATTTACATTATCATTTTAGAATAATATTATTTAAAGAGTTGTAACATTATTTACAGAAATATTCCATCTTTATGTGAAATCTGATGAACTTACATTGCTAAAAGGTTCTCTTTCTCTTTCCTTTTTACAGACCCTTTTTATACATCCACCTACCCATCCACCCACCCACACACACACACACACATACACACATAGCCATACACAAGATTATATACATACCTTCTCATGTAATGATATTTGAAGACCACCGCGATCAGAAGAATGTTGGCGGTTATTGCGAGTGCCATCACTGGCACATAAAGGATGATCAGCAAGTAGTTAGTCTCTCCGTTGAATTTTTCATAAAAATCCCACAGTATGTCGGTCATGAGGTCCATTTCCATTACAGTGCCGTTGTAAGGGATCGACGAGGATGGCACACTGTTGGTCGCGACCTCAATTCTCGATGTCGCGGTCGCCTCCGACGTTGATGTCGTTGTCGTCGACGTAATACCGATCGCGTTCACCCTCATCGTTGCGGTCTCTTCTCTCTCTCGAGAGTAAAGCACTGATGGATCGGGTTAGGAAGGGGAGTTCACCGATCTACGTATTTTACCACTCGGCTACGTGAGCGGAAAAGTCTTCCAACAAGCATACGAAATATCTCGATCCTCGGGCTGTGTCTTGAATCAACAAAGAAAAGGAGAGCGCGCTCGGAGATTGCGCGGAACTGCCATAATTGTCGCTTGGGGGTGCAACCGAGCCGCTTCTCGCATAAATGAAGAAAAAGTCGCCCGATATATAAAAACATCGTTTTACTTCATTACTCTTCTCTTCATCTCTTCCTGTAGACAACGTAATTCGATTTCCCAGAAAACGCGTGTTCGTCCAAGTGATTCTTATCGCACTTTAAAATAATTTCACGAACAATGAGCCTAATCTTGTTGTTTTCTTTTTCGCGGGGATTTCTCGTACTTTTCCGCCGTTGAAGGTAAAATTCTTTGAATTTAGATTCGACTAGTGTTTATAGCATGAAGATTCATTTTTGTTGAAATTAAATGTCTCTCAAAAATTTTTTTATTCGACTCTCATATATTTTTTCATAATTTATTTATATTTCTCTAGATGAAGAATAATCGCATGGTAAAAAATACGAATTCACAAGGAGAAGATTATAGAGTTATCGCTCAGACCTCTTGCGAATGATAATTAATGCATAATAAGCGAGCTTCACTCGTCTTTTGTCGCGAAAATTAACAAAGCCATGTTTTTGTCGCTTCAATTAAATCGTAACTGATATGACGCGCATGGTATATAACAATGAGAAATAGTTGATTACGCTTCAAAGTACGTCAAACGAGAAGTATGAGGTAATATATGTAGGTACATACGTAGCGCATAGCGATTGCAACTTGTCTCTCGTGCGAAATGACGATGTGAGCGATAGAATGAGATAGAGCTTTTACTTACAATCAGGAACGGATTACCACAGAATTTGCTTTTTCATTTGCTCCTATTAAGAACGATCGTACGTCCGAATGACGACTGATGTTTGTCGACTGCGGGATGGATTTCTCGAAATGGATTTCTGAACTCCCGACGTAAATCTCGAGCAGATGCATGCTGCGAGATTACTTTGCGATGCAATTGATGCGTCAATAATACGGTACAATGCCATGAATGAAATTGAGATTAAAATCTCGAATGTATAGATGTGGATTATGCTGTGAACTTTGCTTACGTCATATCGCCAGAAAAATGTTAATGAGATCGCAAATAAATGCGTGGTCGTGTATTCAAATGCAAAATAGTTCTTTTTTAAGTAAATATGTTATAAATATGTACATCGATAAACCTATTGCTTCCATTATTACGAAATTATTACGTAAAATCGTATGGTGTGATACTTGAAATTACGCGCTTTTTCTCTATTAACTTAATTATAAATTAACAGTGAAGAGACCATATTTGTCAGAGTCAACTTTTCATGTATGCTAATTATAAAAGCATATATCGCGTGTACATTTTAGTGACGTAAATAATTTCTTTTTAGTTTCTGAATAATAATTTTTCTCTAATTGATATAAAAACATCAATATAATATTAAAATAATTTACAAGTGGATTTGAAGTTAAAAAAAGTCTTAAAAAATTTGAATTTAAAAACACAAAAACACAAAAAGCCATTCATCGCAAAATTTAAAGCGAAATACATATCAATCAATCATCCTACAGTATTTTATGATTATTAAAGATATTTTTTTGCGGAAAACTATACTATGTATTGCTGAAAATGAAAAGATGAATGATTAATTACCACCAAACAATGCACACAATCCACATCAATGCGAATTTTATATCTCCGTTGTTTTTTTACTTATTTTACTATGATGTTGGTACGGTACATTGCGTATTATTTCTAAAATTTGTAAAAAGTCTATTGCGATGTAACAGCGATTCATCACAGTGAAAGTATCGATTTTTATGCCGGTAATCCGGACTTGTGTGAGATAGAAAATAATAACCGTCCAAGTAAAAGTCTACAGCTGATGCTATTGTATACGGATCGGAAAAATGATCGTCAAAAAGTTGATCAATCATCGATGATATCCTTTTACTCTTACATATTGTTACGTAATTTAAAACGCTAATTAACACAGATCCGGAAATTGATATTGTTGATATAATTGATACAACTGATACTATTGATATAATTGATACAACTGATTTAATATAGACAAACGCGCTATTATATTATATTATATGACAATTTTCGCATTTTTTTTATATTGAGAGAGCAATCATAAAAATCGTAATCATAAATATCGAGAGTTGAACTCACCGAAAGCAGCTTTCAATCCTCGCAGCCGCGAAATAAAAAAAAATTAATAAATCAAACAAAATTAATTGTCGTTACATAAAATTTCACATCTCTTGAAAGTACTTTCTTCAAAGCGAGATACACGTCGTAGGATCACTATATTACAAGAATCAAGATCGATCGTCACAATCACATCCGAGCTTTTCACTACCGACAGGTTCGTAACATTTTCATCGATCGATTCTCGATACGCATGTTGAGGAAATGTATCGTTATCGATTTCTCGAAGATCGTTGTATGAGAAATCGAAAGAATTATCACGTCTATCACGACCTTACGGTCGAAAAGTTGCGGATGCGGGTCTACGGCAAACTGATCGGGAAGAATCGCGGCTCCCGCCGCCGGTCTTAAAGGCGCACGTTGACGGATCACACGGCGCGCTTGCGTCCTTCCATTCATCCGCCTCCGCGCGCGATGCAATCCGGATGGAAATCCGCACATCGGGTTCTGCAGATGTCAAACCGCAAACGCTTTGGAAAACTTTCATCAAAGCCTTTGTGACGAAATGACAAATTTCACTGAAATTAACTTAAAATACGAGCAATAGAAGAACTCAATTAATAATGCTATTAAACCGAAATGAGAAGATATTTTACAATCGGTTCTACAAAATCCAATTTGCAAGTTGTCAGTTTATTATCTATATGCTCACAGGAAAAATTCACGTTTCGTTCGTGTAATAATTTTACTTTTAGAAAATTTATGAATATAAATTTCTAATTTCTCGATTTAAATTTCGAAATATGATATAATACACTTTTTTAAATGTAATTTATATTTGCAGATTTTTTAACACAAAGAAACGAAATTAAATGATTGGATTATTCTTCGAATTATTAGATTCAAAAGCTTTAGAGTAAAAGCTTTTTTTATATCTGTCAAATAAAGTTGAAAATAAAGTTATAGCAAAATCGAAGTAAAAATGTTACTAACTTCAATATATTTTTCTCATCCAAAAAAAATTTTTCGATTCGAATTTCGAATTTTATTTCATATTAAAACTTGATAAATGACTAATAAATCTTTTACACCAACATAACGAATGTCAGTTTAATTAAAATATAGAAAATAAAGATTTTACAAATGCTATATAAAATAATTAGTACGTAATAAGCGCAATAAATATAAATAGCTAAATTTGAAACTTGTTCTGTTTACTTTCAATTTAAATATTAGCATTATTTCATATTTTATTTTTGATGCAAACTATTTTTGGAGTGCTTCAATCTTTCCAAATAAAATCTAAATTAAATTTTGTTTGTTAACAAATTATGCACCGAAAAATTGCGAAAATAATATCGTAATATCAAATGAATGACAATTTGAAATTTTTCATCAGGCTTTGTCCGTTCAATGGTTATATTTTCCAACTGTCAGCGAGGTACGTTCAGCATTAAGAACGTACGATCCTTCTTTTCCACAAATACATTCAACATCCTTCTCAATCTTTCCTACTTTAAGCCATTGAAAGCGTCAACTCGCAGGAAGCGAAAATGGATTCTGAAGTCTTTGCAATTCTCATTGTACCAAATACGCCTTTTCGAGTATTACGTCTCAAGAGTATTCACCAGGTTTCTTCGAGTTTTTGCAGTTTATAAGAGTTCTTCAAGTAAAAAAAATCATCCGTTATATATAATCGCGGTAATCCGCAAATTCTTCGAGTTGCCGAGTGTTTTTTTGCGATGCGAACGTAGGAAGCCCCCGCGATTACCGCCGTTGTTCCAAGTAAATTACTAACCATTACCACCGTATTGTACACAACAGAGGAACGATATTGACGCTTTTTCAGCATCCGCTGCCGGCCGATCGATGAACGAAACGACATGTCGCGCGCTTGCGACTCGTGTTGCCGTTGTCACAACGTGCTCTCAATGCAAAAGAGCCGCGGCCAAATTTCAAGTGTATTCTGTTACAGGCAAACACTTGTTCTCCCCTTCACAAAGTTGCCTATGCATTTAATATCAAAGATTAATCGAAACGTGACAGAGATGTTACACGTCGATTCAATATATCTCTTTACCTTTTACGTAAAAACGAGGCTCCGCATCCTTTCTTTCAACATGTTATTGATCGCTGATTCATTAAAGCCGTGAGAAGAGATGAGGCTGGAATTAGTGGTCGAACGATAAATCGATCGATCGATCGATTGATCGCACAAACATAACGTTGTATCCTGAAGATTATGCTAGATATTAGCGCTATGAAGAATCACTAGATATGTAGTTATACCAGAGGCTATCTGCGAAAATAATGGATCAAAGTTTGAAACACGCATTCCGAACAATGTTATGTAAACGATTTTATGCAGCGACGGATTAAAGTATCAAAAAGGCTTCCAAGCGCAAACCATGATTTAGTGGCTTATTAAAAGTTTAAAATCAAGAAAATTCTAAGTAGGAATTCGATATAATTTTTAATCGATAAAACTTGAAGTAACGATGTTGTTTTTTATTACAATAAAAATGATCAAAGGAGTTCAAAAAATATAATTCTGAATCTAAATAATTACTTTGAGATCAATCAAACGTCGAGATAAAGAGCGTTGTTATCTTACAACAAAACTATTTAAGTGAATAATCAATTTTGCCTTTCAAAGCGATGCAGCGTTTCTCTTTTCAAGCTTGAAATAGTAGAGATTATTTTCAAAGCAGCAACATTCGCGTACGATTATTCTTTCTATTTCCTATCATGCCATGCAAATACTTTCGATATTTAAACAGGAAGATTGATTCATGCTATTCTTTTCGAGACTTACTGAGAGTAGCAATGGAAGATCGATGCGTATAATTCCGAAGAAGGCATAGTAGTGCACTTGTTGTAGTTGAAAATACGTTACAGCTTCCACATTGCAGTCCTACAATCATTTAATATTTAATATTATTTGTATATTTATTAATATCTGATAGAAAAGGTTGGCGAAGTTGGAGAAATTTTCAGAAATACATTGAGCAAAATTTTTATTATTATTTATTTTATTCTAAAAATTTTTCACTTTAAATTAATAATCATTCAAGATCCTATTTCTGATGTAATAATTAAAAATATTTTTATCAAATATTTAAATGATTAATAAAGGACCTTAATAAGATTAATAATAGAAGACCTTCTTTGCCACTTCGCCTGGAAGTAAGAACAGAAAAAATAGGGAGAGTTGCAAGAAGTGAGCTTGATGCAAATAGCTTTTAAGCGGAAGTGAAACTTTATTACGTGTAATACGATAGAGATAACGACACAATAATATTACTGCAAGAGTTTGCAGTTAATTATGCACCTCGGTATATTTATCGGTATATTTATCGGTATAATTATCGATTAGGTGCTCTTTAAGAAACTAATTATTAGGATCGTAATTGCATAAAAATAACTGTTTTTGTTATAAAAGATTTGATGTAATAAATTTATTAATTATTTTTATTTTGATTTTCACTAATTATAATCTAATAATTTAATAATTAATCTAATAATCTAATAATAGTAATATAATAATTAAGCTTTTAATTGAGAAAAAATGTTTGCCTTTCCATAACTCAGTTAAATAATTAAAATTTTAATTAAATCTAAACTAATGTTATATTTAATTACTTCTTTTCTAATTATTATATATATATATATATATATATATATATATATATATATAATTAAAAAAGAAATTTTTTAGAAGATTAAGTTTATCTTAGAATTGACGTAGAATAAATCGGCACATACACACACATTTACCTGCATAAAATTTCGCTTCGCAAGAACAGTCGATGACGGAGCGAAGGCAATCTTGCCGACGCGATTTGCCTTTGGAAAAGAATGAGATTAGTCAGTGGTGAGAAATCTTCCTCAAACATGGCTCAACATACCTGATTCGCGGTCGCGTGACAAATGATGCTGATGATCAATAAATTTGTTACGCAAGCGGATACCAACATTACTTCCCTTATTATCAATAACGGATGCGAAGTCGCACCACCATCGTTGATCGTATAAATGCGCGTTAGGGTATTGAAAGACATGCTGGAGATCCACAGCAAAAGCTGCACCGCGTATACGGAATTTATCATTTCAGTCCCGTTGGTGAGACACGAGTGTAACCACCATACCTCTTGCAAGCGAAACTGCCTGCTCAATCGATCCATCACCATGATTTTGCCATCTGTTTAAACATGCATTATCGCATCAACGAGATAATTATTCGTAAATATAGAAGGTACTTCCGATTCGTGTACTTAAATCACTATGCATGATATTATTAAATATTATAATTTATTATAAGATTTATTAAATATTAGAATTTTAAATTTATGGGATAGAGTAGAATAATTGTACTATTTTAATTGCATTTTATACATTTTGTTCACACAAAAAGTGAAATAATTGGTAAACATAAAGAAATTTGTTGTCAATAAAAAGCACTTTTTAAAATGTTCATCTTGTTAATAATGTTATTAATAATGTTGTTAATGTTGTTACTAAATATTCAACGAATATACTTCCGTCATTTTATCGAAAAATCTATTTATTTGTATTTAAAACAAGTCATGAATCAACAGCATTATTTATTTGCCAGACTTTCGACCCTCGCGGCTATTCTATCTTTACTGGACAAGTCGTGAGAAAGCAGGCGTGTCGACACACTCAGGCAGCGAATGTCGATAGACAAATGCTCGCAAAAGGGGAAAATAAAAAAAAGCAAGTGGGAGCAAAATAATTGAAAAGTTTAAATTCACAAAAGACTGCAACGTTGTCAAATTTTTCAGATGACAGTTACGATTGAGATTTAAAAAACCCAGATACTTCAAACAGCAATTTCATTTTATATTTCTATGTGATTTAAATACGAATGACAACATCATATGACAAAAATCTTTGAAAATCTTTGCTCCAATCAAAACTATAGTAATTGACACAAACGACCGCAAATTTATCAGCAAATCAGTTATTGGTCCACTAATTGCTGCAAAGGATATGAGAGACACATTGTTCTTGACAATTAACCCACCTTCAGGTAGTAGTAATATTTCACAGAGACGGTGAAATCTCTCGTACAGCAGGGATGACAGGCTGGCAAACGTTATCAGTTGCATCGACATTGTCGCATTAACGACGGCGTAAGTTAGACCATTGAATACAGAATATCTGGGCTCGACTCTACGGATGATGAAATTGTGAATGACGGCATTGTTACACGATGAAGATCATTAAAGTACGAAGTAGGTTTAAGTCTGTGAAATAAAGAAATATCGATATGATACTGATTCTTCTTAATTTCCTTTCAGCTTTAATTCTTTACTTATCATCAATTTTTGTATTTTGTAAATATGTTAACATAGCGATAACAAATCGATAATTAGATAATTTTCCTTCCATAATATATGTGTACATCAGTATTATGCTTCTAATATAAAAAACTTTGCGATATATATAAATTAATAAATTTTACGATATAAATTTATTTTATAATAAAACATCTACCGTTGTACAAAATATAAAATAAGGATTTTTCTTTCACACATCGAAAGAATGTAAAAAATCATTAAATTTTTAATATTTGCTTTAAAATTCGTGTATTAAAAATTTCAAAATTTATATAATTATTTATATATTATATATTATAATTAAAACTTACATAATTTATATATTATAATTAAAACTTACATAATCAACATGTTCAGTAAAAAAAAGGATATTATTTCAGAGACTGTGGGAGTAAAAATCTATGAACTTGAGAAAAATTTTTTAAATGTTTTGTGAGTAGTAATATCCTATTTATAGTCAGACATGATGAATATCATGTCTGACTATGAATATTGACATGTCATGAATACACATTGTCCTTTGAAAGAATATTAATTAAATAAAGAAGTCAACAATATTAATTAAATTCCTTCTTACGTACAAAAAAAATTTAATTAATATAATAATAGTATTATTATTATTATCGTCCTTTTCTTCGCTAGCAGATTAGGTGGAAAATAATTAATACTCACTGAGATGTTATGTATCCGACTATCGACCAAAACAATAAAATCACGAAGGACAAAACCCAACAGACGTAACGTATTCGGCAAGAGCGTTTACCCTCCTTGCATTTTGTCGCTCGATCGAAGATGCGTAATTGCGAGAGTGCAGCTCGTATTTTCCAGTTATACCACAAAGTCATCGCAATGTCGGTCAAGACGCAAGCGTAACAGAGTATCGTTCTGAGGACGGTGAGCATCAAAAGCCTCGGATCCAACACATCGTCCATCCAAAGCATATAAAAATTCATTATACAGAAACTAGTATACATCAACGCGAACAGGCCAGAGTAAACGACACTGTATTTCATCATCACGATATCATCCTCGCTGATAACGTACAATCCGCATCCGAACAAACTCGCGGTATGCAAAAGCGGTCGTACATCACTCAAAGACACCATCGTATCGATCCTGACGGGCGAAATAAAAAATAGGAAACACTTTTCTTTTTCTTTTCTTTGAAAAAAATAGCGAGTCTCGCAAAACACACGACACGATTCCCGTCGGTATTTTTATTTAAATGCTTCTTAATACGGCGCGTCCTTATTCCGTTTTTAATGAGATTCTTGAGATATGCGTGGGAGAAACGCGAGGCTACAAAGCCGACTCGAAGAAATCATGTCGACGTGATGACAAGGACTTCGCATACATCAATGTGTAAAAAAGGCATTTAATGCATTTTTATATAATGTTCTACAAAGTGAAAAACAAGATAAAAATATATGAATAAAAATATTTGAAAGAGATATAACTTTTAATTTTTTCACGAAAATGTAAAAGTTTCCAACATCTTGTGGCTTGTATAATTTGTATTTATGAAAAATTGCGCGCATCAAATTCAAGATAAAAATAAAATAAATGGAGCTGATGCATCGAGTTTTAAAAATAAGAATTAAAAACATACCAAGTGTATCTCATATTCCTATCAATACTCACGGCAATACACAAACAAGCTAAATGTTTCACCGAGATCGGACCTTTTCATACTGATAACACTCTTGTCATTTCCGATCGAAAGTAATCGATCCTAAATTATAGTAGTTTGGTATTAATTCCAATTCGAACGACGCTAGATTCGTCAAATAGAGTGAATATAAATTGCTAAAAATTACTTAGAGAACATTATAACTCTTAAAACTATATTAACTATACCAAAACTAGCTTGAGTGACGGTGTGTCCGCCCTGAAGCGGCCGTATATACTACTGTCGGTCTGTAAACTAAGTTTTTCTACTTAGCCGCTTTAACTGCGATGTCGGTAAAATAAATGGGAAATATGTCTGTCATATATGTATGCGTACATACGTATGTGTGTTTATGAGGCCTTTCCGGTGTGCTTCACATTTCATGATATTAATCTGCTACCGATAGAGTGTAAATATTAACGTTACAAGCGAGCAATTAACGCACGACTGTATCCTGCTCAAAAATTTGACGGCGTGACAGACTAACACTGTCCGACTGTCACTGTTAATTATTTTCTGACATCACGATGACGATTCTTCAGATAACTACTGTCTATCCGCTAGAAGAAAAATAAAACTAATCGACGCAATCATAAAGAGCACGTACATATCGCGACATTTATATATTGTGATTATATGTTAAATGCTCCCCGAGATTATCGAGACATGGAATAGGACAGGAAATATTGCATCTATAATATTTTCATATTCGCTTTAGAGAGAGATGAAAAGATACGCAAAGATAATAATAGAATACCGATATCTTGCATTTTAAATAAAGCATAATCAGATATTGTCATCTGTAGTCTGCAAAAGGGTATGGAATTAAAGAGAAATCAGTTTTTAAAAGGAAATAAAAGGGGAATATATAAATATTTAATCTTTCATTCTTTTCTATATATCACATGAGAATCGTGTGCGAAACAAGCTTCGATCATCGATAAGATGATTCGGCACATTGTAATCCGACAGAAAAAGTTTTTTATATGTAAAATTTTTTATATGCATACACACTACATTATAATTTAATATCAAGGCGAGCAAAACAAAAACTTAATAGGCTACGATGACATCGTTCAAGTAGAAATGTCAGTTAGTTTTTCCGTTTGTGATATGTAGCACAGATAAACATTTATTGTTAGATACGAAATGAGAAAAGCGTACTCTATCATTAATGACTTGAGAACTAATGAAAATATTTATTTTGCATGTAACATTCAATAACTCTGAAATATAGATCCCAGAATGTAAAGAACGAAAGGATTATACAGATAAGAATACGTAACGACACATTACGTTATCGTTTTTTTGCAAAAAAAAACGCGACATTTTTATCTCGTTTATTAATGATTGGCAAAGTAGGTCTTCTAAAACAAACTAATAAAAAATCTTACATTATAATTTATACACAGACATTTAGACACTGACACTAAAGATAATAATAATAAATAAATCTATATATTAACTTTAAACAATTTCATTTTTTATCTCCATGCTATAACGATTCGTTCAAACATATGTAATCAGTATTATGCAAAAAATGTGAGTTTGCTCGTTAAGTAAAGTAAACCCATATAATAAGTTTTTATTAGTAATGTAAATATTCAGTAAAAATTCTAAAATTATTACATTGTTTATAAAAAAAGAGATAATCGTTAAATTTTTAAATTATTATTATTGAGAAGTGATAAAAAAATAACAAAATAAGTGTATCTTAAATTATATTTTTTTGAGATATAATATTCATAAATTGAAAAATTTTCTTTCAGAATTTTAAGATTTAAGAGATAGAGAGAAGGAAAGAATATGGAAAAATTAATGTCAACAAACAGAATTTCATTAAGATTAATAGGAATATAACATGATAGACTAAGATAGATAACTAGAGAATTTCTTGATATACATTTAAGAATATTAAAGAGATACTATATATGTATATATCGAAATATCGTAGGATTAAGTTAAACAAGATCATGACGAGTATATGCTACTTTGGCTAAAGTATAAATCAGTAATGTGTTTGATGCGTATGCAATATCACAACTTGAATAATAATGATATTATATTTACACACGCATACGAATTAGTATTTATAGTACCATAAGTCTCGTAAATAACATAAAATAGATTCGTAAAAAATGATAATAAATATGTACGTAAAATACCTGCGAAATGTTTTAACAAATTCCTGAAGTGATCCAGACCCAACTTTCTTCAGTGAATATTCGAGACGAATTATAAGTCTGGATTAAATGCTCTGACGATTGATTAACTTTGTGACTCCAACTTCTTGTCAAGAAACTTCTGTGAATGAAATATTGATCATTTTAACTAAGTAATAATTATAATTAATTATAGATAGACAGTAATTAATTAATCATTAACTATAAATCATTCAACTATTTTGTTTGATTTTATTTCTGTTCGAAAGTATTATTATTCTTCTAACAAGTATTATTACTTTATTTCATAATAGATAATATTAAATATCAAGAATTACGACAGATTTCTTTTTACCTGATTATAAAAGAGAAAGCTGGAGCTGCGGACAGTTGTTGATCCTTTCTCTGAGAATTTAAAGAACGAAAGTGAAGTTAGGCGCTCAAAAATAAAATTATCCTGACATCTGTGTCCCACTTACATGCACTAATTGTGCAATATTTGCGTCGATAACGATCGTCCGGCGACCTGTCTTATCAATCGCAGATTATATCGGAGCGTCGACAGAGAGGCCGTCGCGCGATTTGTTTGTCGCGCAGCCCCAAGAAAGTATGGCGACGTGGGAAAGCGACAAATTTCAAGAAGACGAGGATGCCGATGGTATCGGGGACAGTTTGGACAGGCTTCTCGAGACGCATGATCTGCAAGACTGCTTGGACAACACCCTGGACTTGACGGGTTTCGAGGTCTACGAGGAGAGTACGGTGTTCGATGAAAAGTACTCCGACGACGAAGCTGCTATCAACGAGAGGCCGATACCCGCCGATGACAACACGACCGGGTGAGTTTTTCCCGATTTCGAAATTCCCCTCGGCAATCTCGATCTCGCGGTCTCGTTTTCCGATCGTTTTGCTAGTACTGACGTTATTTTCGCGATTGGATCCGTTAATCTCGAATCGGGTACCGTCGATACTTTGCGCTCGGGTGATAGTCGGTACATTTCTCGTCCCCCTCCTTATAAGGCTATAACGAGTTTTGAAACAAGAGCCTTAATTCATTAATCTGAGAAAAATGGGCGTTCGAATGACACGCGAACGTTTACGTCTCGCCGATGTATTCCCTCGTATATAAGTTTCTCAAGATTTTCATAATTTTATTTCTGTGTAACAAAATTTCAAAATAAAGCTATATCACTATATCACATGTAGTATATGTATATATATATATACACATATATACATATATATACATACATACTATGTTTTTTATTGTACATTAAAATATAAATATGCATATTGTATTTTTTCTCTTTCATTTATTAATAATTTATATTCATGAAATGGACAATGAATTATGAGTTGTAATTGTGTGATTTATTATTATTATTATTAAAAATTATTATTATTAAAAAATATTGTTTTTATATGTTATAATATTATCTAATATTAGTTGCAATATGATGATTTTGCATTTTCTTATTGGACGAAAACGGAAGCATCTGTTTGTTATAAATTTATTTTTAGTGATATCCACATATAGCAAATGTGTATTATTCATACCTACTATTATATACATAATTTAACTACTACATACATAATCTAGCAAAATCTTCTAGCAAAACCTAGTAATAAAATTGGCATGCTTGTGTTTATATGTTACATATTTTTCATGTATGAGAAATTGAAAAGTTTCCGAAATAATAAAGCAAATGTAAAATACCATTTTAATTCCACAATTAAATAAAAAATATTGTTTAAATAATACTTTAAATTGTTAAATATATGGAAGAAAATATAATTTAAGACAGAAGATAAAATCTAATTTATATTATTTTTTTAACAATTAAAGAGAAGTAAATATCAAATATATGTATCTACATATATATATATGTATATATAGGCATATTCAACATATAATCATTCAAAAGGATGAAATTCATCAAGAGCAAGATATATTATTTGAAGATCATGCAACTTCTCATGAAACTGTCGCAATTGAAAATATTGACCCGGATACTAGTCAGAAGCACATCAATCGTTATAATTGCCAATACGAAGGCTGCAGCAGAACATACAGTACCATTGGAAATTTGCGTACCCATCTGAAAACACATAAAGGTAAGATTTTAAAATAAAATTTTTTCTATCAAAAAATAATTACATGTAGTTTCGTGTTTTTTAAATAATAGGTGTGATAAAAAATCAGAGTATAAAACTTTCATAATACAATAAAATGTTCTTAACATATATGATTTACTATATACGATTTACTAAAAAAAAACTGAAATTTAATAATAAAAATGATTATATACATACATATATATAATAAAATAAATAATATATTAATATATAAATATAATATATAATTAACTTATAAATATAATATATAATAACATTTTTTAAAATACAATTTATATATACAAGTTATATTTAAATTAATATTTATTAATATTTAATTTCATATTTAAATTAATATTTTTAAAATCTTTTATTTTAATTAATATGTTTATTTTGAAAGAATTTTCATTATTTCATAATTTTTATTGACTGCCTCACTCATATTTGTTTAATCCATATTTGTTTTTATATCATTAAGAAAATCATGCTTTGCATGTGATGCTTGTTTAATATACAATTTTTTATGTCATATTAACATGTGCTCTTGTTTTTGCATATTCATTGGATGAAAGGATCCAGGTAAGTGTAAAATTCATATTACCATGTGTTGATGCTAGCAATAAAATCACATTTATAATTTTTGCGGCGATATTATTAAGTCATCAATGCTGGTATAAAGGGAACGCTTCGACCTGCATGGCTTTCAGATACTGCAAGAGATAGGTAGCCCTGCAATCTTTTTATGTGGAGGGAATTCTCAAAACTTTCAGGCGAGTATCGATTTAAATGCGCAGAGCCGAATTGCGGCAAGGCCTTTCTCACATCCTACAGCCTAAAGATCCACATTAGGGTACACACAAAAGTAAAACCGTTCGAATGCAATCACAAAGGCTGCGAGAAAGCATTCAATACCCTTTACAGACTGAGAGCTCACCAAAGACTTCATAGTGGCAATACATTCAACTGCGAAGAGACTGGATGCGTTAAATTCTTCACTACTTTAAGCGATCTCAAGAAACATATACGTACTCATACTCAAGAAAGACCATACAAGTATGTTTTCCTTAATACTTCCTCTATAATATTGAAAAAGAGGATATTACAATTATTATCTTATAAACACAGTAAATAGAATGGAAAAAATGGATCTTATGAAACTCAACTAATTTCTTTATACAAATTATTATACATTATACACTTTGTATAGATATTATAATTATATGTGAAATTATATTATTTTATATTTATTTTAAGGTGCAGAGAAAAGGGTTGCGGAAAAGCTTTTACAGCTTCGCATCATTTAAAAACGCACAAGAGGACACATACAGGCGAACGACCGTATGTTTGTACCTTCGAAAATTGCAGACGACGTTTTACTACTCCTCACAGTTTAAAAAGCCACATAAAAACGCATAATAAAACTGTGAATAATGAAACGGTAAGAATATTAAAATAAAAAATTAAAAATATTTCAGAAATATAATAAAAGAAATATTTTACGTTAATTATATCAAACTAACTACTTCTTTTAATTATATCAAATTCTATTTTTTTATTTTCCTAACAGAAGCGTAGAGACAACAGGAGTGACGATGCTATTGAGAAACAAAAAAAGGTGACTCAATTGGAATTGAAACTTGTGAAAGTTAGCGCGAGTGACACCATTATACCGTCATACGCTGTCATACCAATATCTTCAGATCTCGCGCAAAATCATGAAAATATATCATATATTTCTACGGAAAATGATACAGTAGGACAAGTAGTTCCCACCAATGTAACAATGGACATTATGAATCATCGCAAATTGGATGTAAGACTCGATTATATCTCTACCAAAGATGTAGAAGACTCGAATAATAGAACCACCGAAGTTGCACTTCTCGCAACGGATATGCGCGCGTTAGATAATTTTAACGAACACGCGGTTGATGCTTTTAACAATAATGAGGATTACGAATTTAAAGTATTCGATCAAATGACTGAATCAAATATGCAACATGATAATTTAACGGATATAGTTAGGCATCATCCGCAGAAGTCATCCTCGTTATCAGAAGTGTGTAGTGATAGCATAGATAAGCAGGATCAATCTATCCCGATAAACTTAGGACAAAAGATTATGCAGGATGGTTTGCAAAACACAATAGCGCATATTTCGGAAGGAACAGATTTCACAAGTGATATAAAACAGTACAAAAACGAATCCTCCACTGTTTCTGACGATATATTTGCAAACCGCTCGAATGCAGAAAGTATAGCCGACAGTAACGCGTTATATAGTGCCAATTGTATTACTAGTCATATTCCGGATATTATAAGTTCCTCGAATGAAACTCTTTTCGAGAATGGAATGGATGCTCTCTCGTTCATGAATGATGCGACTTTGCAAAGTGGAGACTCTCTCAATGCGGTTTCAAATCACGATCTGTGCGCAGACACTGTCATTACAAACGCGCAATCCGAAGCTGTTGAACTCGCGATAGCCACGGAAGAAGAATTACCTTCATCTTGGATAGATGTTACGGCATTGGCAACTGCACCCACGTTGAAAGCACAGTCTTGGTCTGAGTTAAACGCTTTTTCCACAGCAGTTCATTCCCTGGTTGATTTAGTAGGTCCAGAACCTTATCCATTAGAGATAGATTCTCAATTGCTGCCTATGGAAAATTTAAGAAATATTAATACAGTGAATATGGAATATACTTTAGCAAATACCGAGATTGTACAGTATCAAAAAGCTGCCGATTATGAGCACAAGAGTATAAGTAATATTAAAAACAAAAAAGATAATAAAAATGTTCTGCAAGAGATTACAGCAGATGCTGATATATGTAAATGTAACGATTGCAAATGCGATAATTTACAAAATTGCCAGAATTGCACACATAACTCTGATGAGACGGAAGTTGTGAAAAAAGATACAATAAAAATCGTAGATGACTTCGTGTCTTCCTTGCAAAGTGGATGTTCCTGCAACACCGAGTCCGGTGGTTGTGATTCTTGCTGTGTTGTAATTTGTTTAAAGACATTACAACAACTACAGAAAGTATTTAGCAATTGCTGTAAAAGTACCAATACCACAAATATGTGTTGTAGGGAAAAATTGCTACCATCCTTGCTGAAGTGTCAATTAGCCAGAAATCAATAAATCACATATTTTCTTCATTAACTAGTCACACAAGAAAATAATGCTATCTTCATGTAACGTCTTTTTTTTCCCTATAAAGATGTGATTTTACATTTGATAGCTTTAATTCGCCTTGGGTAATTTTTGCCTTTCAAATATTTTATCTAGGACAAATTGAGAATATATGACTGTACATACATATGTCTATATCATACTTATATCTATATTTAATAGAATCTTATAATTGATTCTATACATATATTATATAATTTGTGCCAAATATTTATAGACTTTTTTTACAAAAAATGTTTATAAACAAAAGTACTCTGTTGCGTTAAAAAAAATTTGTGATAATACAAATAAAGTGTCCACAACAATGAAATATTCAAATATTATATTAAAAAAGAACTGAGATAAAACTAACGATACACACATATATGAATATAAGGCAATAAATATACGATATATTATTATCTTTATACAAATTAATGATATTGATATGAACAAATAATATTTTATAGCTTATCCAAAAATAAATAGATGTTATATTTCTTGATATATCTCAGTCACAAATATATATGCTGTTTTTTCTATGTAATATTGATTTATAACATTACTAAAGAACTTGTTAAAAATATGTACAGCATGTAAATGATAATACCAAAAATTTTATATATATATATATATATATATATATATATATATATATATACATACACATACATACATACATATAATATTTGTATAAGAGAATTTTATTTATTTAACAATTGAATGTATGTTTCCCTAAAAAATATGTTACAGTGTTAATTCTAGGAATATTATTTTCTGTTGCTGTTTTATGATATTTACAAAAAAAAACTTTTTGCATATCAAGGAGAACTTTATAATCTTTAGGTTAATTAAGAAGTGCCAAATACTTATGAACATCTAAAGTATTTATGATATTACAGTAGTAATGTGGTACTAGATTTCAGATTTATATTCGTTGTTTTTATGCATTATCATAATAATAAGTAGATTGAAAAAAATATTTTTATCAGTTTAAAGCGTGAAAATTTTTATGGCTGTTGTAAGTACTTGCAATAAAATCATTGTACCTAAATAGCTTGTAAATGGCAGCATATTTATTGTTAATGAACAAATACCAAAACTAACATCAATAAAGAATATTTAATAACTATTTATATCTATCTATATAACAATATTATCCTTTGTATTTCTTATTTTCTTTAGTTTTAATAATAATAAATTTTCATATAACGGAATGAAAATTAGCACAGTGATCTGTTTTTAATCAAATATATACATATATGACTTAATATATTTTTATTTTTGCCACATTGTTATACAGCTATTATGATGAAGATGTGTCGAACACATGCTTTCTCCTAAAACTTTTAGTGAATGTGTATATAATATTACTTATAATATTTATTGTGCAGCTTGCACAAGAGCTTCCCCAACTTCAACCGCAATAGCTGCTTCAGCTTTGTCTTTATCTGTTGTTGCCGAGGAAAGCTGTTGCTGAGCCTTAGTAAGGATATCTCTTGCTGCTGAACTATCAATATTTTCTACTGGATGAGCTTCTTCTGCTAAAATCTAATAGATAAAAACAAATAGATAATATATTACTTTAGAATCTATACTTATTATTTTGAAAATAGCTATACTTATTATTTTGAAAATATTATATACCTGTACACTGTTGTCTTCATTTATGGTGACTGTGCCAGATGAGACAAAAACTTTCTTTGTCGAACCATCTTCTTCATATACTGTAACTACTCCAGGTTTTAACACTGCCAGTGTAGGAACATGTTTTGGTAAAATGCCAAATGCACCTGAGAAGGAAGGTACATCGACTTGACGAATCGCAGCTTGATCATAGAATACCTAATGTAGAAAAAGTAAACATTAAATGTTAGTGTTAAAAAATGATTATTATAATATTTTTACCACTTGCATAATTTTCTACTCTAATTTTACCTGATTAGCACCAGCAAATGTAAACTTCATTTGGTCACTGGCAACTTCTGCATAGGTTCTTCTTTGGTTCTGGATGCATCTTAGGTAAGGACGTAAGGTACGAGCGAGAGTGGCCATTTCAATATGCTAAAAAAATGAGTAAATTTTTAGAAACACGTTTCTTTTACATTAGATGAAATGATATTGGCAAGGTTGTTACATCACAAGTATATACAAGATACATGTATTATTACGTTTTCTCGATATTATAAGTGATTTGTTCGAGAAATAAGTTTGAGTTTTTCTGAGCGAGATTTTTCACATGTTTTGTCAGCAATAAAATTATTTTATACTCACTGATATTAAATATCCGCGTTTAAAGCCCTAATATCAGATGTGTGCAAAATATGGATGCAGTCGATGCCGATAGAACCGACTGAATAACAACATGGTATGGAGCTTTGATAGAAGTGGCGCTGACATTGCTCTAAAAAAATTTTTTTATTCTTTTCAGTTGGCTACACTGATTACGTTCTGTTTTTTTCAAAGTGCATGGTGCAAAATAGTGTTAAAATGTTTAGCGCGATGAAAAAAATCGAAAAATGGCATCCGATAACTTATTTCACCAATGTACGATATAAATTTTGAGATCTATAATGTTTTTCTTGTAATAAATCTTCTTGAATTTATCTAACTTGTTTTTCTTCTTTTTTAGTATTTGAGGGAGGCACTTAGCAACAACAACCATTATACAACGATATCGGTGAGTGAATTTACTGTTGTGATTTTTACATGGCTAATTATATAAATACATAAAAAAATTAATTATTCATACATCCTCAAAAAGTGGATCGCATATTTGCAAGCAAAAATATCTTTCGTTCATAAAGCTGATTAAATCGGTTATGAACGTATATGTATCGTTTTTTAAAAGAAAGAAGAACAGTATTTATATAAATTGATGTGCTTAATTCATGTAGCTCTACTTTTAAGAGATAAATTAATCATATTGTTTGCAAATGTGTTTTCTGTTAAGTTATAACTTAACAATTTTATGATACTTTTCATCGGTGCTATCAAAATATAAAATAATATAAAATAATGTAAAGATATTAATGATTAAGAAAGAATAGAAATTGATGATGGTTAAATATTTTTAATTTTAACATTAACAAAAAATATATTTTTTTTTCTGACTGATACAAGAAATTTGTAATAAAGACGAATAGATTTTTTTTCTCTTTTTCAATACGTATATAAAGTTATATTTATAAACAAGGATGATTTACAGTTTGATTCAAATCATATATATTATTTGCATCAAATCATATATATTATTTTATATATTAAATGTGTTTTCTGTTAAGTTATAACTTTACAGTTTTATCATATCCGTTTTTATCGATGCTATAAAAGAATATGAAATAATGTAAAGATATCAATGATTAAGAATAGAAATTGATGATGTGTAGAATTTTTAACATTAACAAAATTTTTTTTCTGACTGATGCAAGAAATTTGTGATACGGACAAATCGATTTTTCAATTTTTTTTTACTTTTTCAATATGTATATAAAGCTATATTTATAAGCAAGGACGATTTATAGTTTGATTCAAATTATACATTATTTGCAAATATGTTTTCTGTTAAATTATAACTTTACAGTTTTAGCATACTTTTTGTCAATGCTATCAAAATATAAAAGAATATGAAATAATGTAAAAGTATTAATGATTAAGAATAGAAATTGATGATGCGTAGAATTTTTTATTTTTAACATCAACAAAAAATATATTTTTTTCTGACTGATACAAGAAATTTGTAATAAAGACAAATCGGGTTTTTTATTCTTTTTACTTTCTCAACACATATATAAAGCTATATTTATAAACAAGGATGATTTATAATTTGATTCAAGTTATGTACACATCATTAATTATATAATAATAATTATATAATAATATTATTTATAACTAATTACAAAAGTTTTTCTAATGATGAAGAATTAATAATTGCTATAAAATGTGCCGAATAGCGAGAAACAATATTATTTTTATGACTAACTTTCAAATAATTTTTCCGTCTGTATTTAAAATTTTAATATTTACAATCGTTTTCGAGTTTTTCTCGATTTATCGCAAACGTTCTCTTTAGCACCTATGTGAGATAAACACCTATTATTCGCCACTTATGTGAGATAAACACCTATTATTTTAAATAAAAATTCGCAAAATTTGCCATTCTTAAATTCCGTCGTTAATTTCGACATCGGAAACATTATCATCGTTCTTTTCGGAATGCCAGGAATTTTTATGTCTCTCCAGATCTCTTCTCCTAACTAGTACCTTGCCGCATATGTCGCACTTATAACGACTGTCGTCTGTCACGTGTAATCTCACGTGCTTGTTAAGATTACTAGGATCTCCAAATCTATGCTCGCAAACCTTGCAAGTCAGAGGCTTATAACCGGTGTGCGTCCTAATGTGAATCCGCAGACCATACTTTCTCGAATAGATCTTGTTGCAGAAGATGCATCTGTATCCTTCGTTGCATTTGCCGATTTCGCTAGCGCGTGTCTCTACTTCCGCAGGATCTGCTTTCTTCCCAGATTCTTCTGTGGGACAGTTGTAGGGCATCCGATCTCGATGCATCAAAACATTGTAAGGTTTTAAAATCATGCGACGATCCATTAGGTTCTCCACGGACGATTTGTAAGCCGATGAACTCGGTAAGACTTCTGGTAAAGGATACGTTGGAATCGGCGAGGGATTATTCGAGGACAGGGGTGACAGTCGATTTAATGAACACGGCGAATCGTTCTTCATCGACCGATTCGCTTCCGTCGTTTGTGTCAAATATGATGGAATATTGACCGGTAACGTTATCGATTTGGATACGGGCAGAGGATTTAACTGGAATGTAAAACTTCTTTCTGAATATTGATTGAAGGATAGGCTCGTTCTCGGAGGACAAACAATTTTATTCGCCAAGAGCGTCCAAATATAACTGTTGTCCTTCTGATTGCAATCTAATAGCAAGTGTAGTTTTAAAGGGTTTGGATAGTCGAAACATCTTTTACAAATATGGCACGTGTAGACTTGACCTGTAATTATTTAAAATTGATAAGCAATTAATAAATATCCAGTTATTTAATATTGCATTTATTATCTTATATTAGTATTATATATATTAATGTGCGTAATTTGAAATTATAAGTAGAAATTTTTACTAATTATAAAAACGTTTTAATTATTTTTGATTGCGACGGTCACTCGAGTCAATATAAAATTTAATATCCATCGCGTAATTAAAATATTTGCATCAAATAAAATTTAATATTTATATAATTGTACTAATATATAATAATGCCAAATGATATAAATGTGTATATTATTCAATAATTAAAATATATTATATATACATGCATGTATTAGAACTATCGATTGATGCAATTTCATTATAAATAACTATTACAAATTTCATATTTAAAGATCAAACGAAATAATATCGGGAAAAATTTTTAATTATTAAATTGATAGTGTGTTGTTATAAAATTATTAAGGAAATATCTAATAATTATCATCAAAAAGTTATTAAAAATTTACGATTAATAAATTTTCATGATTGATTACTTTGCTTAATAAATTGATCTCATACCTTGAATATCACAATTGGCTGGAGTTAAAAAGGGAATGTTTAACATATTTAAAGTGCAATCTGCGAACCACATGAATAATGGTTCTCCTGGAAGTAAGTCTTTTATCACTTTCAATATGAGTCCACTGTTGCTAGTCATAAGTAAAATATTGGCATTTTGAAAATCTGTTGCTAAGGTAATCATCTTTAGCCAATATGACGAACTTATGGGTTCATTGAGGCAATGGAGTCGACCGCCAATGTCAATAACTTCGATGACACTCTGGATCATTAATAATTTTTAATTAAAATTAGAAAATTAAGATTTTGTGAAATATTCTATATTTTTATATGTATATTGAGATTACTCTATTGCAATTATTAAATGCAAAAATTATTCGAAATAAATAAAAATAATAACTCAATCAAAGAAATTTAGTTCATTCAAATGAAATAAAATTTTCACTCATGTTTCACCATGAAAGTTCAATGTTGTTATTAATAGTCAAATTAAAATTTAAGATTTATTAGTTCATTCCAAAATAAAAAAAGAGTTTATTATAAAAATTATATAAAATAAAAAATTATGTGTATTAGAGTTTTCTTAAATGAATCTTTGCTTCACATTCAAGATATTAAAAAATAAAAACGTAGCAAAATTTATTTTGATCCAGAAATTCATTATTGAATAATGATCACGTTATGATTAAAAATATTAACATGAATAGAAAACTATTTATTTGATGATAAAAATTCCATAAATTTTTTTGACAGAATTATTCCATCGCAATATATTATTTCCTTCAACTTTTTTATCATTTTGATAAGTAAAATACGTGGAAATGAAAAATGTTTCACTTGAAATATTGAAATGAAATGCAGAATATGTTTTTTTAATATTCTATATATTTTTGCTACATACATTTCGAATGATCGATGTGTTTTTTTGAGGCAACATATTCACGTCGATAATTTCTGTCGTTGAATTTTCATTGAGAAGTCCAGCAGCTCGAACGAGCGGTCTGCTCATGAAGAAGTTGGGTCTTTCATTCATCGATAAATTAATATATCTTTGCACTGGGCATTCTTGCACTTGATATCTCTGCATTGGATATCTTTGCACTGAGTGTCCTTGCATCGGATATCTTTGCAATAAACTAGCTCTTTCCAGTCTTTCACTTCTTGTCATCACTGTTTCTGCTTCTGTCACTACAGGATATGCTATAGGAATTGTAGCTTGATTCATGTTAAAAGAATTTTCTTGTAAAGTTTTTCTTTGTGCTTTAAAAAGGTTACAAACCTCGATTTTTCTTTTTTTTAAGATTTTTTTTCTTTATAAACTATATTTCCAGAAGATGCATTTGGGAGTTGATGATAATTTTTTCTATCACATTAAAAATATCGATATAGTAAAAGTTTCGAAACGTTAAACACCATAAAATTTCGAAAGAAATACACCACAACATTTTCGTATTCGTATTTTTGTCATAATAAAATTGTTTCAAAGTGTATCTTGAATCGTTGAACATTAATGATCTGTATACTAGTCATGGCACCAAGTTAAGATATCAACTAACATAGAGACGATTTCGTGGACGCTTTAAATATATACTGGGGGTGGTGCCTAATTTTGAGCATTGGTGTAACTGCTGTGTTCTCCCCTCTATATTTCTCTGTATGAGTATACATATACGTAATTCTACTTAGGAATCGGTCATAGATGGACCCTTTGGTTGCTTCTGAACCATGTCGTTGGTGCAACCATACAGAATAGGAGGAGCTAGCTGGTCGTGAACTCTCGGGGATATTCTATTTGCTGCAGCAGGTGCTACTTTTTCGCCACGTGATATTGGATCTTGCATATTGTTAATATATAGGAAAATAACAACAGAAAATTTAAGATACAATATTCTCATTTATGAATAATTAATTTAAATAAATCGTATTGCATTTAAATAAATGCAAGATCTATTTAAATAAATTATTAATATGTAATTAATATCTATAAATAGATTTCGCATTTACATTTATGCAAAATTACAACGCAATTTATTTAAATCAATTATTAATAAATGAGAGCGTATATATCTCAATTTTTCTATATATTAATAATATATAGAAAAGTAGCACGTGGCAGAAAAGTAGCACTTGCTATAATAAATAGAAAATCCTCATACAAATATAAGTGAAAATATTATGTGAATTATTATATTTAAAAATTGTTTAAGCTGAAATATGCGTTTCACGATAAAATATATCTTCGTAAAAGTAGAGAGAATAGACATCATGCTTGATTACGGTAGTATTATTACAAAGTATGATAAATCAAAATATATTCATTTTTGCGATTTTGACGAAGACATGGCTTGATTCGCGGATCGACAGGATAGCGAACCAGGAGCGGACTTTCAGTACGCCAATAGGGCTATAAAAGCCTCATGTGAAAGGACATTGTTTGGCTCAGCTGCGGCCTACTATGCGTCTCTGTATTACGAGGGATCGGCCGAAAGGTGCATCTGAATCAACGGTTGATTAGGAAATTAAGTGGCTCATTCTTCTCGGTGGTCCGGGCCGTCGATCGCGTAGGCGCGATATCGTATGAATTTGCTTAATCTTTCGTCGATCTTGATGCACTCGGCACGATCGGGTGCGATATCAATACGTATCTCTCTCTTTTTTACATTTGCGAGATAGATGATCTCGTAAAACTCTTCTGGATGCACATGACACACTTCTCTTTTCAACGACAAGATTAATTATTCACGTGATAATGGAATATCGCAATAATTAAATATCGACGATTAAAGTTACAACATTTTGCGAAGTAAAAGATTTATTTTTTTATTTCACAAATGAATAAATGATTATTCTACATGATTTTTTAATCCAATTATTTATTTATAAACATTTCAATGTCTATTTAAAAAAAATGGAGTCATATTTAATATATCTCACGAATTACAAATTATTTATGAAGAAACATGATCGTTTTTAAATAAGTTTATGAAGTTTATTCAATATGAGATTCATTTTAAATTAAGTATATCTTCATTTTAAATTAAGTATATCTTTTATTTTGAAATTATAGCGTATTCTTAAGAATTTTTTAGGATTATTCCAATTGAATTGAAAAATAATGTAATGATTGATTTTTATATCATAAAAATTCCCTCCTATAAAAAATATTATGATTTTTTTATTATTAAATGAAACAATTAAAAACAAAACGTTAATTAATAAATTGTTTCTTTAAATATTTTAACATATATAAAAATGTTCACATATCTAAGATTCAATATTTGAATTAAAAAATTTTCTATGAAGACAATAGTATAGAAGACAAAAGTAAAAAAATACAGATAATTAAATTAAATGTGATATTTTTTAAATAAATATTTATTAATAACTCTATATTACTTCTTTTATTAATAACTCTAAATTACTTCTTTCTCTTAATTATGTTCGAGCTTTGAACATAATTCTTCTGAATTCTCCTAAGACAAGCTTTTAAAGCTACGCGTAGCTTACCAGCCTGATCCGGAACCAGAAGAAGAGCATGGTCCCTTCAGGCTGCGGATTTCTTACGGGCGACGTGATTCATCCACGTGTACGATGTCAGAGCAGGGAATGACACGAGTGTTCACAAGCCGCACCATCCCTTGCAACCCCTCTCTGGTCGCTGGAAACTCGAGCACGAGTGTTTCGCCATTCTATCGTGCCCCAAAATGTACGCGGCAAGTGTTCCAGCCCCCCTTTGCACGATTCGTGGGTAGTAAACAGAAGGACGAGAGACTCGGAAATCTTCCCAGTAAAGGCGTAACTATTGGGGAAAATATCAGAAGGCGGAGGTTGGAGAGTGAATTGTACGCAAAATTTACGGAATTTTACATTTATGGTATATAAAATGCATTAAAGCCAGTTTAACATTAATATTAAATAATTTAATAAATAAATATATTTATCGTTTAACATTAATATTAAATAATTTAATAAATGAATATATTTATGATTAAGCTTAATAATAATAATTTTTAATTAATTAAGTTTTGTAATAATTTTTAGTAAATATATATAATATTATATCAAGTAGTGGGAAAAATATTATATTTTTCTCGCAATTTGTTGATAAATTTGTGTCTGTCGCCCGTATCGCGGCGGAGGGTTGTACCCTCTAGTCGTCTCTTTCTAAAATCAGGGTGCAATTCAAAGAACCGCGGAGCCAGCAAGCGCAAGCAAGTGTTTCGCCGTGACCAATGGTCCCCTTGCACGCATGTGTGCGCTTCCCAATGCGATATTAATATCGCGATTATCATCTACGTATTATTGCTGCGTCCCTAGGGTGAGATGCTCAAAATAAGCCCACGCGCGGTAATACCCTCCACAATCTTGTATTCGCGTACCAAGCCGTGCACCAAGTATTCAATGTGACGATGTACGAGGAGACACAAGCATGTTAGTCTTGTATTGGAGAATTGAATCTAATTAATAAAATTTCATTTTTTATATATTATTTAAAAGGTAAAAGTATAACGCAAGAGAAGAAACTTTTAAAATATATTTTTAATAGTTTTCTTTAATATATAAATTAATGTAAATTTCTTATATATTTTATTATATATTTTATATATATTTTATTATAAGAACATATAAAATATAAAAATCGATTACATATACAATACATGTTCTCACGTTTTGTTTCAAGATTAAGTATTTGTATTGAGATATAGAGCTATTTAAATTTACTCATATATTCATCTCATTATATAAAAATTTTCTATATTATATCGTCGTTATCTCAATAAGTATATTTTGCATACATTTAAAAATGCGTGGACGCGGTCTATGCGTATCGAGTTCGGATTGTCGATGGCAGGAGATGCGTGTGCTATCCTTTTGCTACGTAGAAAGGGAACCAATGCTATTGTTCTGCGTCCCTTTACTGCAATTCTGAGTTATGGTCGCCTTTGCGGGGAGGTGGCCATAAAGGTGATTCGTCTCGGTTCTGCAAGTGTCAAAAGTCTATCCCTAATGGTGCCGCACGCGAACGAGACGGCGGCTTATGTATTATTAATATTCGCTGCGAATCGCATCTAGAGCTCTAGCGATTTCTTGTTTATTCAACAATTCCGATAATTTTCAGATTTTTTCTTATTATTTCATATTATATTACTTTTTACTTCACTTATAGATTCTATATTTATTATATTACTTGAAATATTAGAACAATACTATTATATCATAATGTTGCTAACAATTATTATAATAATTACTCAGTTTTGGATAATTTTTATACAAAAATTATACAGAGAAAAATTTAGATGTAACATATTTTTGTTGCAAATTTGTCTGTGTCGCATTCCATACAAGAGAAAAGTTAAAGTGCATTTCCGCTGTTCACGTGCCACATCGACATATTGCCCTTGTCCGCAGAAACGAGTGCCATGTAACATGACACGTGACCGTCGAATACCCCACAGATATATTCTCTATCCCTGATCACTCGTCCCGCGTTGAAAGCAGTATTTAACCATTAGAAGCTGTTTACTTGATTTTAAGAGTCAATCTAATCTTTGATTGTCTATTCTGTAAATATTAAAATACGACAGTCTCATTTTCACTCGAGTGAGTAACCAAGAAAAATAGTTTTTTTTTACAAAATATGAAATTATGTTAAATGTAATAAATTGTACAAGGATTTTTATCGTATAAATGAAAGTTGTGAAGTTAAATTGAAAAAAAAATAAAGAGTAATATATTTTGTTCAAAAGAATATGACACGCGCTATTTTGTTTATTTTGCGCAATTTAACAATAAAGTATTCTTAAGTTCGCATGTGTCGTATTCGCAGCGAGGAAAAAAATCATGTGGAGATGCAGGTGACACAGCTCACATGACAAAATAATGTCAGATCCCTCGCGGCATATACCGGTCTCGGCCCGGTGCATCTCGGACATCTTTTACCCCCCTTTGGTCTTCCTCTCCCCTCCGCGTGGTAGACTACCCCCTGGAAAACACGACTCACTTGGCACACAAGTTTTGTGCATATAATACTCGGTACGAGAAAGTAGCTCCCTGCTTAATTTAATCCAATACAATATGTTCCCTTGTCTCACCCCGCTCCCTCAGCGTCGCCAGGGGTGAGTTAAAGAGGGTGGGTGGCTTTTTAAAACTGTGCCGATCTCAATTCAGCGTGAAACCTCATCCCATTATGATTGATCTAATCCTGATTGGAGCGGACAGGTTTTTTTACTTTTGCGGTGTATCGGTGATTTATGTGTGTCTGTAGATAGATTTCGAAAATGATCTTCCGTCACATAGTATCTGTCATTCTTAAAGTGAACATACAGGCATACTGATGTTAACAATATGTATGTTAACAATGTGAACATATTTTGAAAAATATTATTTTTTCATGAACAAATTTATATAGGAAAAAATTTAAATACATTTTCTTAAGTATAATTTTGTCTTGAATTAAATGTTTAATATTTATTCATACAATTAAAAATGTTAATTTTTTCTAGTTTGGATAATTAAAAATAATAATAAGATTTTTCCTAATTTATAGTACATTTTGAGATTTATATACACAAGTAAAAATATTCTATCATTACTTTCTTTTTTTGATTTTCTCTATTTAAATTTCCTTTATCCAAAATTTCACTTAATTTATATACTCTGAATTATTATAAATTATACAATTTATACAATTATACAAAATTTAATTTATTAATCGCCTTATCAATCCTGCTGGTATTTTCATCTGTTTTTACATTATTGATATAATTAACCTACGACACTTGTGGTACTTTATACTGAAAAATTTCTGTTATTTGAAATAATAGTCCAAATAGTAGTAGCAAGAACACTTTCTATTTTGATGATGTTACATTTGTTATTTTTGACGTAAGAGAAATATCTTCAGCTGCGACAATTCTTCAATGTGGATTAGATGTTAATCCATGAAAATCGATTTACCAGAGTCTAAAAGTGATTTTTAAGATACCAACTAGGGGATGTTTTTATCTTTAAATCTCGAGAGAATCATTAAAAAGGTTGCAATTTAATAAACAGGAATAATTCGTGACAAGAAAAATATGTTTTGCTTATAAATTTTGTTTTTATATTTTTATTTATTTAATATATACTTAATTTTTTTGGAGAGAAATATCTTTGAACTGGATCTAACAAATCATAAATTACATCTTGGAATGTAATAAATTTCTTTAACTGTCTCGAAATCATAGTGCAGCATTATGGATTCCCAAGTCAGTCTAGACTACAAACAGATAAGTGATGAATCATTAACATCACATGTGTGTTTTACGAATAATATATTAATATATATAAAAAGAATATTAAATTTTTTCTTAAAGCAATACGTGTTAAAATTCTGCAATAATGAAAAAATGTGTAATGTTAAAAATATTATTTTAGAATAAATCGTTCTGAGCGAAAGTAAACTTTTTCTTTACATTATTTCTATGAGAGATTACGCCGCGCTGACTTTGAGAATCGATAATTAATTTCCGATGGATCTTTCGCGTTCTTTCGATAGTTACTGTTTGCGATAGAGATTGCGAGCTTTGCGGTGACCTGTCAGGGGGTGCAAGCGGAGGAGATGGATTTGTTGCACAGCTGTGTACACTGCTTAATGTAAAAGGTACCGGGCTCGGAAATTGCTTTTGTGCTGGTTAAGGTGAATCCCTAAATCCGAAAGCTAACTACGATTTGCTCGTTTTTTAACCGAAGTGCATCATTAACGCCTATCGAATAGCGCGATAATGAAAATTATTATCGAATTGTACATATCACGTAAAATATTTACGATCCGTAATTTTTATTTTTACGCCCTGGCTCATTCTCTTAGAGTTCAATTGTATTTAATTTTTTTGTAAATTTTTTAAATTCTGATTTAACTATAAATAAAATTTTCGATTTTTATACCGCAAATATATACAAATGTATTTACCACATTAAATCACGTTTTGATTTTCCATCGCAGGTGATTCATAATTCACGAAATTGCTGTCAGTTTCACCTTCTTCTAAATTATCTACGCTCATTACGTCACGTTCATCACGTTTCTTTTCCTTTGAAATATCATAATCTTCACCGAGTTGTCTGTACGTCCGCGCGCGATTTTCCAAAATTCCTCTAATAATTTCTGTAAAAAATTGTACAATTAAATTATTCTATAAATTTATCTCTCTATAAAGTTATATCATTATTATAAAAATCAATCTCTATTCAATCTATTTCATTCTTATATTTCAAATGAAATTTGAGAAAGAATAAATTGAGAAAAAAAAAACACTTTTGCCGGTTTACTTTCCGTTCAGCCTTACCCATTAACAATTCTCTGCTTTCAATCATGTTGCCCATCTCCTTTTTAACTTCCTTCATTAACCACGGCATGAAACCTTCTTCGACATCTGCAACAAATCACGATATTCGCAACAATTTAATATATTATAGATGAAATAAAAAATAAAATAATCCAGGACGAAAAGAAACTTAAACAAAAAATAAAATCGATAAATAAAGAGAAATTAAGAAACCTTTATAGTTAACAAATTCAGAAAAAGTAGTCAGTATTTCTTGCGAGCTCACGAACCGGCCTTGATTTCGTCCAATAAGAAGCCAGACATTTTCAGGCCTTCCAGAACTGCGGGTAAAAGTTCAGCAATGTATCCCGTTAATAATACCGCTGCCGCGACTCGTTCCTCGGTTTCCTGCTGAGTTTTCATCTCTTCTTCGTGTTGTTTCAATCGTCGATCCTGAAATGGATCGAAAATATTTCCTTTTAATCATTTATGCGCGCGTCTTTCATCTATCTATGATAATATAAAAAAAAATAGGCAAGTTACTTAAAAGATTGTCGAGATATTAAAAAATTGAAATCCGAGAAAATAGTACCTTTTCTTCTCTACGTCTTCTCTCTTCTTCCGCCAATCGTTGCTCTTCAGCTTTTTCAGCAGCGTGTAATTCATGGAATCTTCTCTGCTGTTCTTTGAGAGTAGCAATTTCTTCTTCTTCTAAAACTTCGATTAGGGCTTGCTCGATAGTCTTGCCTACCAACACCTCGAGAATCGGTTGAACTTCAGTGTCATAATCAAAGAGCTGAAAATATCATAGTAAAAAATATTATATACAAATATTATATCTTACAAAATTAGTGTCATGATAAAAACCGTTAAGTACCTCTCCTGGTTCAATTTGAGTGCAAGCATCTTGACCAATCTTGTCGGTGTAGTATCTTGGTGGTTCCGGTTTTTCCAAAAAGTAATCGGTTTGTGTGGCTACTTCGGATTCGTCCGGCTTTTCGGCCAGCTTAAATATAATAAATCAATATTAACATTTGAATTTGCGCTTTATTTGTCGAAATGGGAAATAATAATTCATTGCTATAATAAAAAAACAGATATACGAATTTTAATTAACCTCCTCGAGAAAGGTTTCGGTTTGAACTGGTTCGTGCTTTCTCCCAGGAACCGGAGGAGGTGAACCCGTCCTCGTAACGAGCGCTCTGCAAGCTTGCATTTGAGCACGTTTCCTCGCCAAGTATCTTCGTTTCGCTTCCGCTTGCCTCGCTGCTATCGATTGTTCCCCATCGATCTAGGCAAATGCGAATTTCATGAATAAAATTAATAAATAAAATTATAAATAAAATTATAAATAAAATTAATTAAATTGAAATTAAATTGAATTAAATGAAATTAATAAAATGAAAAAAATTACGATTCTTTTATTTTGAAAGACTCACAAGAATACTTACTAGAGTAGGAACGGGAGCGAATGTACTTCCGCGAGCCACGCGACGGTCAAACATGATGTTCCCGAAAGGAACCGATTGTTCGCTGCAAAATAACGATCGATTTATAATGAAATGCAGTTTCTAATGGTCACCAAACAAATCTGGAAAAAGCTCAGCTGAGTTTAACATGCTGAGTAATGATTACTGCAAGACTCGTCGCTCTTGAGCAAACATCGACAAACTTTGCAATAATAAATTTCTTTGAGATTATAACAATATATATAAAGTTGTAGTAATTTCTATACCTAATTTTTAATGAATTTAATACATTTTTAATTACCTATTTTTTAATTATATTAATTTATTTTAATTTATTTGGACTTTCAAATATTTCGCCAATTTTTTATTAAATCATTTTTGTTATTTAGTCTTGCCAATATTTTTCAATTTCGAGTCAAGATATATAATAATAATACGAAATCCAATTGCTCTCTCGATTATTGTCGACGAGTATATATACTAACTATATATATATTTATATAAAATAAAACGATTAAAAGATTATGTCACGCTATGCAGCAAATTATAATATATAAAAAAGAAATGATTTTTAAATTTGCAACTTGTCATTAAAATTATATTCGTGTCAGATACGATTGTCTGTTCGCATTTAATGAAGCATTTTAATCGCATAGTAATAAAATGATGGTGTCTACGACCCTGCTGCACGCTAATGTTTCCGATAACAATCGCGACAGTGTCTATCGCAAGCACGGTAAAATTTATTATATATTGATGACATACTTTTACGTGCACAGCACATTTAGATTGGCCTACGTATATTCATAGATGACTTGATAATTTCTTGATAATTTCTTTAAAATTGCTTTTTTAAATTTATAGCAAAAAGCAATTGTTAATAGATTTATTTCGTTATCAAAGACATGATAAAATTGTTGTACAGTAAAAAAATCGGACGTTTGTTTAAAAAATGTACTCTTATATTGTCGTAATCGTAAGCTTAAATTTATGTTAGTATAATAATTAGTTATGCAAAAAACTCTTCGAATAATAAAGGAGAAGTAAAGGATAATATTATCGATCATTTTCATGAAATATAATTTTCACTCTATGAGTATTTAAAACGTGGTGCATCAGGAGCGACAATGACTTAAAGAAAGAGAGAGAGAGAAAGAGAGATAATTCAAACACGACCGCAAGCGCACGAGAATAAATCAGACCGATGAGAAGAAAAAAAAAGCGGGGAGAAAGCAGCTGCTATCAAATAAAAGATCAGTGATAAGTGTGGTGCCACTTGGTATAAGGTGTTTTCGTTACCCGCGAAGCGTCGACAGCATATTCATCATGCCCTCGATCGGTGCCAACTTTTTCGGTAAAGCTCGCGGCGCCTGCGGGAATCTGCTAGAAAAACAATTCCCGCTCTTCTTATACGCCCTTTTCCTCCTCTCGAAGTGCCTCTCATCATTTTTCATTCACGCGCTTCAATCGAGCTCATCGCTGCCCGTTGCTTTTTAAGTCAGAAATACCCTCCGCTCTTTCATATCTTTCACATATACACATGCTTATTGAGAAGAAGGTGAAATCTTTTCGCACATTTCTTTCGGCCAGTTTCTTTTGACCGATCGATTATTTCAGCAACAGCTACGGTGTCTTGGGCATCGAATTTTCGGCAGGGATGATATGAAACGAACGTAAGATTCGATATCGCGATTTGCATCTGCGAAAAGGTTCGAGGTCGCATTACCGCAAACCAAATCCACTGGACGGAAGGAGACTTTTCAGGGCCAAAGAGATTATTAATTTTGAACTAGTAAACATATTTTCCTAGTAAAACATAATTATACCTAAGAGGATATTAAAAAATGATAACCTTTTTATTTTATATAATATATAATTTTAGAAAATTGAGATAAATATTTCTCTGAATAAAAATTTTGTAAAATAAGAGAGCATCATGAATTCCGCTCCTAAATTGACTGATTATAAAAAAACAAGGACGACATGCTAATTGAACAGCCGGGACGATGTTCATAACGCGATCGTGCTACATCGCCTCAGCGTCACTTACGGCGGTTCACTCCTCTTGAATCTTCTCGCTCGCTCGTCTAAGGTCGAGGCTGTAGCGATGGTAGTGGCGTTCATCATGCCAAGAGAGAAGTCCACGGTAGCCTTGAGGGCAGCCGGACATCTGGCGTTGTGACTACTGTGACGTACCTCCGGTCTCTTGGCCAACGATACTAAGGGTTTAAACCTGCTTTTAACCGGGCATCCGTCCGTCGTTTCTTCGTCGGTTCCGCTAGGTGTGATACCGAGTAGGGCCGCCACTTCCGGCGGAGGCATTAGAAATTCTCCTGACCTTACGGTCGTGATAAATGGCTTTTTATGCGGCGAGATAGACTTCTTGGGCGATCTGCGACCTTGCTCGACCTCGGTTTGTTCCTGTATCTTCTTTAATTTCGCATTGAGTATCTCATTGAAGTCTTCTGTGGATAAGATGATGCTAGGTTTAATTACAGGCGGTTTTTCCTCGTTTAAACTATCCTGACTCTTGCTCTGGTGCTTCTTTCTCAGAGGATTGGTCTGGTTCGATTGTAGACTAGCCAGAACTAGATGTTCATTGGATTTACTGATGCGTTTACAATTGTGAAGATTATTTTTTATCGCATTTTTCATGTTCTTGAGATTGGTGAGTCGTGGCGCGTTTATTTCGTCGTCCTCGTTGATGTGTAGGAGCGGCAGACTCGAGTCCAGGCCATCCTTCTGCAGGATCGTGAAGGCTGGTGGATTCTTCGTCTCATGATCGAAAGATTCTGCGTCTGTCGACGGCGCCAGAGCCGAAATACCGGCTGGCATCCTTTTAATTTCTTTAGACGCACGATTGCGTGGCGGACATCGTGAATCGATCGAAGACAAATAAAATTATGCGATATGCTTTGCCTTTCAACCGTGGTTTTCCTTTAAAATTCCAAAAATATTGCTTTTTATTCGAGTAATTTTATTTATTATAGAAAAGGAGATGTGCTTCTCGAAAATCTTAGATAATTATGGTGTCTATTAATTGCTCATCGATCGTCTGCACTTGTGAAAACATAACGAAGTTCACGCAAGCGTGATACTCGTAATTATTTCTTGAATTATTCAATCGATTGCGTCACGAGATCTAGCTACAACCAAGTTTAATTGCGAAATATAAGCAGTAATTTTGCGTTACTTAACGCTCATGGCGAAAAAATATGTTCGTGTGTAATCTTGATAAAATAATATATAAAAAAATAAAGATTTTTTGTGCAAATATTATTTAAATGATTAAGAGTATCATAAGATATTATAACATATATAAACAGCATTATTATCAAGAGAAATTATTCTACTTTAAACATTTTTTATTCGTATTAGACAAATTTTAATTTTTGGATATGCATCATTTTTCTATAAATATTTTAACGCGTTTGTTATGTAAATCGTTGCGCTCTCATTGTTATGAATAGACAGAGAGATCATTTTTGCGTATTTATAATATAAAAGAGTTAGAATTGTGCGAAATTATATCGATTTCGATATCCTTGTCAATTGATTTATATCGATACGTACTGTGCGAAATTCGCGCCGAATCGGCGGCTTTGCTGGTCACGGAAGATCGAGAAGGAAAAATGTAGTCGTTCGTCGAGTACGGTTGCGACATTACTGACCGTTTCGCGGGGGAGTTCAGAGACTGGACAATGTCCTTAGAATCGACCGATATAGACCGCAGTCAGGTTGCACGTATATTCTCACCCCCGCGACCGGCCACTCAATAATGCTGACCACCGCGAATGTTGCGCATGCTTAAGTCCGACAGAGGGTGGAATACGGTGGGTTCCGCTACTCGTCTAGGGAACCTGTCCGGGAACTTGCAAACTTAGCAACACTTCAAGGTGAAATTGCGTATTTGATCTCGCGGTCGATTTTATCGCGAAAGCTCAACTTATACCTTAAATTAACGAATAAAATGTGCGCAATTCTTTTTTAATAAAAGAAATTTTATATATATATATGTATATGTAACACCAAGTTGAAAACATTGCTCGTAAATAATCTTGACGTCGAGGTTTCTTATCTTTCACAATTCTTTCGAAGATATAACTGATTGCTTTGCTTTATAATCGTAATAAGTATATGCACGCGATAGAACGATAGGTGAAAATGAATTATGAGATGAGTAAGGCATTTTGTTATCACGCGATTTATGCAAATGTGTATGAAAAATTAGATTTAGAGTATGATCAGGGATAGTATGAATATGAACTATATTTTATGTAACAATATATTACGCAATAAAATTTGTTTACTTTTAGTTATGTTAAATTACAGTTTTTCAAAACAATTCTAATTTTCCGAAACACAAATACGTCATATTTTATGTATGATCATATATATGGCAATCATTTGTAAAGGTTTCGTTTTCCTAAAGATTTATTATCAACATTTTTTAGTATTTATTATTACTTGAGTATTTATTAATCTAAGTATATTTACTCTTAATAAAATTAGTTAAGTGATATGTTATTTTATTTTATTTTATTTTATTTTTTTATTTTAGAAAGATCTCGTAAATATATTTCGTTTATGAATTTTATAAATAATGTAATTTTATCTTTCTGCAAATTTCATCTATTTTAGATCTAGATTTATGACGAAGTATCTTTATCAATAGAGCTTTTAACATATTACAAAAAAAATATTAATCTGACGATGAGGTGTCTTTATGAATAAAGCTTTTGATATATTAGATTATTACAAGAATATTAATCTAATGAATTGATCATCGAGATCCAGAAAATGATAAGAGAAATTTAATAATATAAAAGTTTGTCGCCAAGTTCGTGCGCGGTGTAATAAAAAATCATTTTTTTCGCTTTTGCATGGGCGTAATTGCCCGATTGATCGATCTATAGTCGAACAGTGCCACAAATAGTGACTCACGGCTATTGTATTTGATCATCAATAGTAGTTTATCATATATTATCGCTCTCCTTCAGCTCCTAAAATAGAAATCACTGCATCTCAGAATTATCTTTTATATCTTCAAATTGTCTTTTTCGCACTAAAGAGGTTTCTTAACTAATTTTTATTTAAAAAGTAAATTAATTATGATTGAATGTAAATATTACATTTTGTATTAATATGTGCAGTAAAGATGCGAATTTTTACTGCACTTTGTATTAATATTAATACGTTGCGGATGTCCTTGAAGAAATTTCCGACTAGTTTTTCTACACATTTTTGCGTGAAACGTCGCATGCAATTATATTAGCTTAAAAGCATATTTTATTGTTAGAAAAACGATAAAATAAGTAGGGCACTTATATGCGCACAATTATATATATACTTTTTTAATTTTCTATTCCATCTAACTTGACAACAGTTTTATTCAACACTACGATTTTTCTCGATAACACGCAGATCACTCATCGATCTCTTAATTAATTAACAAAGAATTGACATTTAAGGCAGATTTACGTAAGAGGTTATTATTACTAATTCATGCTCGATTGTTTCCTCCGAATGTAACATAAAGCGCGCGTTTCTTTATTCTAATCAATATCACTCGCAAGTTATTTTATTATGTAACATACGAAGGGCTTAATGTATGTGTGTATGCTAAATATAGTACGCAGCCAAGTCACAATCAGAAAAACCGTTGTTTAACAGAGTTGTATTGTGCACTAACTTTATAGAACTTTATAAAATGGTAAGTGTATAAGCAAGTCACTTTTGTATTAGTTCTTTTTAATGATACATTCGTGTAAATAATTTCTTACTTTATCATGTATAGTTTTGTTTAATATTTTTTCAATCGATAGCGAAATTTAATAAATTTAACGAGATTTAAATTTACTCACAGTGAAGAGTTTACAAGCTACAAATGCAAATTTTTTTTCGAAAATTTTATGAAATTTAAAACTTTATTCATTGCGAAAAATTAATTTTCCTCTCTTAGATCTTTTATTTTCACTAAATTTGCTAATAAAAATATTATCCTAAATCGTTAATGCGAGATTTGTGCGGAAGGAAGAAATTTCTATAATATAACTATACTTCCATATAGAAGTGGAAATCGCATAAAGCGAATGCATAGTATATCATACTTTGTACTCTTTCGTGTACAATAGTCAACGATAAGATCAACTGCAACTGCGGTCATTCCCTCTTGTCGTCTATAAGCGCAGTAATATATAGATTAAATGGCCATTGCATTATCGATGTGCTGTGCTTTTCCAGTTATCGATATTCTTCTTTCGGTTTTAGAAAATATAGAAAAAGAGAGAGAAAGTGTACTTTCAATAATTTCTTCGGAATAGAACATAAATTGTTAACAAAAAAATGAGATAATAATAAAATAGATAATAATAAAATAGATAAATTGTTAGAATGAAAATAATTAATGACAGACTATGCGCGAAAAATAGAATGACTCTACTTTTAATAGATGTCTATCTTTTGTGTAAAGATGAAATTTCACACTTTCGAATAAGCTTAGCACAGTGTTAAATATGTAGCATGTACTGTAAAGAGACGAATACAATCTATTTTCCGTATCATATGCCTGCAATGTTCATTAATTCAGGGAATGATTAGGGCGTATATTTGTATGAAGTCGTTAAACATGGTTTATCAGAATATCATACACTTGTTGCATCGACAATAAACGTGAAAATATATCAACAAAAAGCTGTTTTTTTTATTAATTAGGTTAAGTGGCTTATGCAATTATCAGCAGCATGTGCAATTATTTTCGTCCCATTGTCTTTTTGGAAAAAAATATAAGTTGCTAATAAAATTAGAAAATATTTCTGAAAAATATTTAAATAATAATCTTTTACTTAATTATACATATTATATATATGGCTCAATAGAAGATATTCCTCCTTAATATTTTTTGTGAAAAAAGCTCATTTGTGAATTCTTAAAAGCTTAGATTTGTTTAAGTTTGTCGATGTTTATTAAGCAATTTTCCAAGTTTGCAAATTCTTCGTTATTTAAATCATGCACAATTTTATGTTTTAATTTCTATTCTATGTTTCAATTCTGTGTATCTAATTTTTGTTAGAAAAAAAGTTAATTGTACTTACATTGGAGGATTTCTGTATTTCTTTTGAATGTGTAATATCGCCCTCGGGCTCTTCACGAAAGTGTAGGTCTCCTTCTTCTCGCATGTATTGAGGGGTATATTGTAAGATTGTAATCCCCGACTGCACATTCGACACCGTTCTGTCATCTTTGTAGTCATTGTTAATTTTTTTTACACAATTTAATTGCGTAGAAATTTTATTCTGGAAATTGTTGCGCGGCTTTTAGTCTTTTATGAAGAGAGGTAACCCGACTTCTCAGGGCGAATCCCATTCATTACTAAGCTCTTTGTCTGTTACTATAGAAACGGATCAATTCTGAAATTACTTTTATTGATATAGCGACTCGCAGTTTTTTCGTATCTAAGATACAAAATTCTCAAATTTTTATAATTCAAATTTATTTAAAATGCAAATTAGATTTTTGAATTATCATTTATACGAGGATATCATTTATTTTAGACAATTTATTAATTAAAATTATATGTATGTAAATTATATATACATATTGTTTTCTATAAAATTTTATTATTTTTATAAATATTATAAATATCATTATTATTTTCCTTATTTTTTTGTTTTTTTTTTTTCAAAAATATTGTAATCTAATAATATAAGTCTAATATTATAATGTTAAATATATTTTAATATAACATTATTAGTTATATTTAATATTTTATAGCATATATTAAAATATTATCTAACTTAGAAAAAGTTTATTACTTTTTTATCAGAACAGATTTAGCTATTCTGGGAAAGGTTGATTTCTACCAGGACATAGTCCGTTAAATCAATACCTATTGGGTAAAACTAAATCGATACTTATATCGGATGAGACTTTTCTACTTTACCGAGTTGGACACGAAGTTGCGTCTATTTCCGATAGATATATGATGAAATTTATTAAATGATAAATGTTAAATGCTAAATATTTATGATACAAGAATTAATTGAATAAAACTATATAATACTAAAAATATTTTAATTCTGTAAAAAATAATAATCTCACTATTAATACAAAAATTATTAATATAATATTATGTATATAATTTAAATGAATATTGTTTTAAACAATCAAATTAAGATTGATAAATTAACATGTAAATATTTTTTTAAAATTAATATTAATTTTTACTTTAAAAATAATTTAATTAGAAATATATTGGTAAATTAAAATTGAGATTCATGACAATTGTAAAGCATCAAAAAATTAAAAATTTTATAAAAATATCAAAATTTAGTTACTTTTTTTTAGTGATTTTTAAAAATTTCTGTACCATTCTGTCGAATTCCAGAATGCAAAAGTGTTATCGAGAGTAATATTAAATTGTCATTAATAGCATGATTCAATTCATCAAAGATATACTATTCCCGAGGAGATGTAATGACGTTTCTCTTGATAGCGAGGAGCCCAGCCCGCCGAAGAAGTAGTAGAAGAGAAGAAGGAAGTGTGGGCGTAGGGAGGTGGTAGTTTGATTTGGGAAAGAAAGAGGAAGAGGGCAAAGATTTTGGCACCCTGCTGTGCCTCCTAATTGCCTCGCCTTCCTTGCCTCGGCAACGTCCAGCACGCCCTTGAACCCTCTCTGGGTCCACATAAGGCCCC